TCATGGTGGGGAGTGCTGCTTATACACCTCTGTGCTTCCTGATTCCTCCATCCCCAACCCAGACCTGGGAGCTCCTTGCAGGCAGCACCTATTTCTTCTCGTTGGTTCACACAGAGTGGGACATGAGTGGGCGCACCCCACACTGACCACTGGGTCGCCCGATCACCAGGCATGCCCTCCAGGAGCTGCTACCATGTGGGAGATGGAGTCATCCGCACATCACTCCAGAGCCAGGACGTACAGGAGACCTCGCCACTGAGCCCCAGACAGACTCTAACATGAATGTGGCATTAGAGCAAGTCCTAGGTATTTTGGTTTCCTTGTGCATATAAAAGGGCTGTTTGCACGGCACTGTAGTCTATATTTAGTGTGCGGTGACATGTTTAAAAAAACAGTGCACACACCTTAATTAAATGTGACAGACGGGACGTGAAATACAGGCTCTGGGGAAATGGTGCCTGCAAACTTGCTTGGTGTTAGGTTGTCACAAACCTTCAATTTGTTAAAAAAAAAATGCAGCACTCATGGTCGCACACAAGAAAACGCGGAGGCCTTTTAAGAGTGAGGTGGGCGCTCGGTATGAGTCATTACAAATACTGTGAGGAGAGCTGGGTGGTCGGCGTAGGGCTGGGTAGGGGATCGCTTAGGCAAAGACTTCTGGAGAGGAAAGAGATGGAAACACACATTTGCAATGCAAGTCTTCGCGGGTCATATTACTCCCGGGTCCATTCATTTTAAAGAGAATTCACTTAGCCAAAGTGCTGTGGATCCGGGAAACTAAAGGATCTGGCCTCCCTCCCTTGTGAGCTGACTACATCTCGCTGGGGAGATAGGCTAGAATAATTAAATAGCAATAGGGAAATTCTGTTCTTGGCATAGAGGTGCATTGTCAAAGAATAGTATCACTGCACCGTAGCACTGTCCTCCCGTTGTTCATCAATTTGCTCAAGCGGGCCCAGTAACGTCTCCATTGTGAGACTTGTTGTTACTGTGTTTGGCATATTGAATATGTCATGGGTAGCTTGCCAGGCGTTGCCGGTCAAAGAATAGTATTTTAATAATATTTATAGGGCTTTGACTCCCTTCTAGGCTAAATCTCATGTCAAGCCCATGAACAACCAAGGAGAACTGGTAGAAAAACAAAGCTCGGAGATTGAGTTTGAAGCCTGGCCTCAGAGTTTGCTCAAACTCACTGCCCATTTGTTCATCAAAGGAACAAATGAAGGCCTGTACAGAGCACTGGTTGCCCAGAGCCGTCTTCGCCTGCTATCTCAGCCTCCTGAACCTTCCTCTGATGCTGGCTCCCTTGGCCAGGGACAGGGGTGGATGAAAACCATCAGCCTCGCCTTGGGTTGAGGACAGGAGGGGCGTTAGGTCAACTGCTAACTGTTCTTGGCTCACACTGCAAGGACACCATCTCCTGTGTGGGAGTCACAGAATGCCTATAAGAAATGGAGGGGCCCTCACCACCCAGCCCCCACATTTGTCTTGTCCAGAAGAGGGTCTGTGCACACATCTTGGGTTGTAAGATGAAGAAGAAGCCAAGTGGACTGGCTCTCTCCGACTCCCCCTCCAGCCCCAAGCCTGGTCTCCTCTGGCCTCTCAGCCTGATTCCTCTACAACTTTTACAACACTTTGCTTTTGTTGCAGTATTTGGGCCACACTCCGTGGCGCTCAGGGCTTACTCTTGGCTTTGTGTTCAGGGATGACTCCTGATCATACTCAGGGAACCATATGGGATGTAGGGGATCAAGTCAGATCAGCCTCACATCAAGCAAGCGCCCTACCTGGTGTACTATTGCTCCTATTTCAGATACATTTTTTTAAAATAAAAAATATTTTGGGGCCCATCAGGGTCATGGCTGGCAGTGCTGAGGGACCAGGAGGTACGAGGGATAGAACCCAGGCAAGGCCAAGTACTCTCCCACTTGAATCCCTCCTGGGCTAAGTCTCACTGGTCCCCACCTCCACTGCTGCACCTTTCACATCATCAAGCCTTCCCCCGGCTACCTGGAACATCTTCTTCCCTAACCCTGTCACATCCCTACCATAAACCACACGTGTCCTTTAAGATGCAAAGACCACATGCACAGAGAGCTTTCTCTGAGGGACTCAGGGCTCACGGAGTTCAATGACTGATCACTTTTCTCCTCCCTCAGAAACAAGGGCCTTGTCCTAATCCTCTTTGCATTCCTACCGTGGTGCCAGGGGGTTGCACACAGTGGGTGTTCAATATATATGGAAGAGTGAAGGCACCCGCGGGTAGGTGTGAGCTGAGATGCATTTGCATTATCTCAGCTTCCCAGGATGGGCTGTAAACCACACTCACACACCTGACCATGTGTGACAGAAAGCATGTGCTATCTGCCACAGAAGCCACATGCCCACTCAGGTAGAAAAGTTTTTTTCCAAAAACATATTTTCCTTCAAGTGACCATTCATCAAACTCTTTTCTACTGCTAATATTTTTATGTTGGGTTTTCAAGTGGATACTCATAACGGGCTGGAACTATAGCACAGTGGGTAGGGCGTTTGCCTTGCATGTGGCTGACCCGGATTCAATTCTTTCGTCCCTCTCGGAGAGCCCAGCAAGCTACCGAGAGTATCTCGCCTGCACAGCAGAGCCTGGCAAGTTCCCTGTGGTGTATTCGATATGCCAAAAACAGTAACAACAAGTCTCACAATGGTGACATTACTGGTGCCCGCTCAAGCAAATCGATGAACAACAGGAGGACAATTACAGTGCTACTTGTATAACATTAGTGAATCTCACCTAGGATAATATTTCTACTTCCTGTTGCATTATAATATGTCCATAACAATATCAAATAATTGTGATGGTGATGAGAGAAAAAGGTGATGTCCAGAGGCCAGGCACAGAAAGGGTTGGATGGTGGTGGGTGATGCACGGGGGTGCAGGTGTACCCCAGAGTCCCATGTGGGTCCCCCGGGTTCATTTATATCCATCTGGCCTCCACATGGAGCTTGGAGAATAATTCCTAAGAGGAAAACTAAGGCACCCAGACCAAGACAATAAGGAGGGGTAAAAAAAAAAAAATCTAGGCTTGGGTCTCTACCAGGATCCATGTACTAACCAGTGAGCCATCCAACCCCTCTGAGCTCTAGCTCCGACTTCTATGAAACCCAGCCTCAGTCAGTGGAAGGCTTCAATGGGATTGTGCTTGTTATGTGCAGGGCAAAGGGCTGGCCCATAGCACATGCACAATCCATTCCAGTTGCCTTCAGTCCATAGTTCCCGGGGGTTGTCTCCCCTTCCTGGATGCTCTTTCTGCCATGGGCCAGTTCCTCTGCCAAAAGCTCTAGTACACAGAACTGGAAAAAATGGACCTAAACCCAGTAGGCTTTCTTTGTCTGTCTTTCGAGAACCCCACAAATAATAAGTGGGGGATTGAAGAAATAGCACAGGGACTAAGATATTTGCTTTGCCTGCAGCTGGCTCTGGTTTGCTCCCTTGTACCCCATATGGTTCCTGGAGCCCCACCAGAAGTGATCCCTGAGCACAGAGCTAGGAGAAAGTCTTGAGCACTACTGGGACTAGGCACTCAAACATCAAAGATAAGTAAGTAAAGGAAAACTAAATAAGAAGGAAATGAGGCAGAGACCCCCTCTGCATGCAAACATACAACGTTCCCCATGGACTTAAGTTCAGGAGGCTGAGGGCACAAGAAACCCAAATGGCTCATCTGCCAGCCCAGAGCCCCACCAAGGGGGGAAGTTGCTGCCTTGGGGTGCACTACAATTCAGGGTAACTGTGGCAAGGCAGGAAATGGGGTACCTGCAGATATCCAGCCATTGGGGCCCAAGATCTTTCTTTTTGTTGTTGTAGCTGTTACCATTTTATTTTAATTTTTGGGCCACAACCAGCAGTGCTCAGGGTTTACTCCTACTCCTGCACTCAGGGATCACTCTTAGGTGGGCTCCGGGACCATATGGGATGCCAGGAATTGAACCTAAGTCAACCATGTGTGAGGCAAACAGCTTCCCCGCTGTACTATTGCTCTGGCCCCCCAAGATCTTTCTCTCTGCTCAGTATCAAGCTCATGCTCCTGAAAACCTAGCATCTTGAAGGGTATCTCTCCCCTGGCAATGCTGATTCAGGGAAACTGGTCCCTCTGCTGCATAAGCTGCCATTTCCATGTCTAGGGGACATGACAAACTGCCCCCCCGCCCAGGCCCCTGTCCCTGAGCTACCCAACTGCTCCACCCTGCGATGCAGCCTGCAGCAGCTGTCCACTGTCCACCAGGTTTCCAAACATCTTTCACATGCTCCTCATGTCTGCTCTTTCCTGCTTTTTCAAAAGCTCCTATTTTACATGCATCTTTTATCAGCTCGAGTCAAGTGCTTTTTAGACAGGTGTGCATAAATAATAGATTCGTGATGGACTTCGCCTGGGGTTCTGGCTCTTTAATTAAGATAGTGATCTTTGCCTAGAAACCCACATTCTGGGTTTTTTGACTCCTTTCAACACCCACTGAGTGGTTTTTGTCTCCTCGTGGCTAATGATGGAGCCAAGCGGGAAGTTGCTGCTCTGGTGGTCCCTGCCACCCAGAGAGGCTTGCAGCCGAGGGGGAGAAGGGGGCTTGGAGCCACACAACCGAGTCACATTCCAGCTCTGCCACTTGCTACTTGCTCCGCGGGGTGAATTCGGGGCCCCCAGCGCGACTCTCCTCCATACAATGAAAACTGTCCTTGGTACTTACTTGGCTGGTGGTTATATGGATAAAATCATGCAAAGCATTTAGCAAAGTACCCTGTAAGGGTTTAACAGAGACGGATGAGACATTGTAGACATTGCTACTGAGACTAACAATGAATTACATTTAGGGAACCCTCACTGCACACACAGTGGATGCCCAAAATAAATGTGTGCCTTTATGCTCCAGTGGAAGGGGCCGGGGGCGGGGTTGAAAGGAGTGCTACCTGGCTGCCTGCCTTGGGCTTCTCTCCACTTACGGGGCCCTGAGGATGCCTCTGATACCTGTTCCAGAAGACAGCGCCCGAGATCTTCTGCATTTCGCCCAGGGTGGCGAGGAGGAGCGAGGATTTGCCACAGCCCACCTGTCCCACGATCATGGTCAGCTGGCCTGCAGGGATGAGGCCAGGGGGAGTCTGAACAACCCCCACCCCAGGGCCCTGGAAGCTTGCCTCTCACCCAGGGTCTGCAAGAAGTCCAGCCCCCCTTTGAGCCCTTCCTTCTAGAAACTACATAGAAACTACAGCCTCCTCCTGGCTCCTTGGTGCTTTTTGTCGGGTGTCTCCCTGAATGATCTCCGCTCCTCTCGGCGCCCCCAGCAGGTTTCCCCTGGGTTTGCCCTCCACCTCACCTCCATGCTTTGCTGCTCAGATCGTGCCCTCTGCCCCATGGCCCAAGTGACCCTGCACACTCCCAGCATCCCCAACAATGCAGTCAGCGCGATTCAGGTATGCTCTTCTGGGCCAAGCATCCCTTCTCTCCACCAGAGCAGCCCTCACCTCTGCACTCCTGTCCTGACCTTGCACAGTGCTCCCACCAAGCACGGACTCCCTCTCCAGTGCTCAGACCTCAGAGCACCCGCCAAGAGCACCTCGCAGATGAGCGCAGCAAATGCTCATGTGTCTTGTCCCCCCCCACCCCCCCGCCACCAGCAGTCTGCTGGGACATGGGGAGGGGCACTGGGGACCCAGCCCCAACCCAGGGTCATACCTCGGGGAATCCGGATGGTGATGTTGGACAGGGTGGGGATTCCATCGGGGGTCCAGGTGAAGAAGCCTCCAATGATCTTCATTGAGGGACGCACCGCCGCCCGAGAGAGCAGAGAGAGGCAGGCGAGGCTCTCAGCCACGGTCTCATCTCCCCTCCCCTCTGCCCCTTCCTTGGCCTCTCCCTGCTGGATCCAGGGCAGGGCAGCCTACAAGGGCCCACTCATGCCAACTGCGCCAGCGGTGCTTCTTGGGGAGCCACAGGTGGTCCCTCCCGGTGGACAGAGGAGTGGCACTCCTGGTCTGGGGACAGCCAGGATGACCTGGGCAGGTTGTGTGACCTCAAGGACTGAGGGCTTCGGACCTCAGGCTCCCTCCTGGTCCTGGTGCAGGGGTGGGAGGGGGGTGGCCGTGGAGTCGCAAGTTCTGGGACTCACCTGGACACAGCAGTTGTCAGCATCCCCGTCCACATCGGGGGCCAGGCTCTGCGGGAGGCCCTGGCAATCCTCCCGCGCTGGACGCTTCCGATTCACCACCTTGAGGGGCTGGAGATGGGCGGAGGGAGATGAGGCCCCACAGCGGGGAGCTGTGCGGGGTGGGGGGGGAGTGGAAGGGGCTCCCCTCTATGGGAGGGAAGGGCAGGGCGGGGCGCAAGCCACTGGCATTGGGGAGAAACACGGGCTGGCAGGGGCTAGTGCGCGTGCTCACCACCGCCTGGTACTTGCAGGACTGGCGCTGGGGCGGGGGCTCCCGGGGTGCACACTGTTCCTCACGGGTCTCAGCGCTGGCCAGGAACTCACTGAGCTTCTGCACGCTGCAGAGAGAGAGAGAGCACAGGGATCCCTGCACCTCTGCCCCGGGCAAAGGGCAGGGGTGAGGGAGGAGGGCGCCGTCTGAGAGGTCAGCACAGAGTGATTCCCTCTCCCGACCCCCTCCGAAAACCAGAGAGAAGGGGATTCCATGGTGGGGGGTATGAAGTGTTAGGGCTGATGGGTCTGCTGGAGTAGGTTGTGGGGGATTGATTGGCTAGTTCTAGGGGTGATTTCACATTAAAGTTGGTTAGTCTGGGATAAGCGAAGGGTGAGAGGTTGGTTTGTATTAAGGTTAGTAAGGATCAGGATTGGTTAGTAACAATGGAAAATATTTGTTGTGTTTTACTTATTTATTTATTAATAAGTATATTAATAACTTTATGGGTCACACCCGGCATTACAGAGGGGTTATTCCTGGCTCATGCATTCAGAAATTACTCCTGGCAGGGCTCAGAGGACCATATGGGATGCTAGGAATCGAACCCGGGTCAGCCGCGTGCAAGGCAAACACCCTACCCACTGTGCGATGGCTCCAGCTCCTATGTGTTGTGTTTTGTTGTTGTTTTTCAGCCACACCCAGAAGTGCTCAGGACTTACTCCTAGCTCTGTGCTCAGGGATCACTCCTGGAGGTGCTTGGGGGAGGGTCATAGGCAATGCTGGGGATCAAACAGGGTCAGTCACATGCAAAGCAAGTGCCTTAAACCAACTGCTTTCTCTCCAGCCTCAAGAACGAATATTTCTTGAGCATGCTGGCCTCTGTGTTTTTGAGAACGTATCATTTGTTTATGCCTATTTAGAAGACTTCTGGCAGAAGCGACTCTCAGCTCATGGTGGAGAAGGTGAGTCTCCAGCTAACCCTCAGGAACTTTCCTTGGGACGCAGAGGAGCCGTCTCGGGCACAGCTCCTGATCCCTTCGTTCTCCTTGGGGTTCGGCGGTTCTGGGCAGCTTGGGAATGGCTTGTCTACACCTCATTCCCTTCAAAGAAGTGTCCTTAAGGCCCCAAGGTGAGACAAGTCTTCCAACCCTCAAGGCTGGGGTCATCTGGGTGCTCAGGAGATGTGTTCTGAGAAGTCTGCACATAAACCCGTGTCCCTGTCTGTGAGCTGGTGGCCTTGAGGTGTGTGGCTTCCTATCCCAGCCACCCACCTCTCCTCTCCCCCTGCAAAGGGCTCAGCTACCATGGTGACAGGGAGTTTGCATATGGAAATACTTCCGGGTCAGACAAGGGATTTCCAACAGGTGTGGCATCCTGGGATCTGTGGTTTCCACATGGACACACAGGACTGGGGTGAGGCTAGGTGGGGGGGGGTGCGGAAGTGCCGAGGCACCTCTGACCCTGCCCTGGGAGTAAATCCACTTCCAGGTCAGATAAGAAACGACCACAGTTCTGATGCTGGGCCCCCTCCCATCCCTGACCCCCACTAGAGGCTCCTTGGTGTAACAGGCTTCCCCTTCTGGTCCTATCAACGGCCTAGGACCTGGCGGGGTCCCCTGACATGCCCCTGTCACTTCCCACCAGGCTCAAGGAGCTGGGGTTCAGGGGTGTTTGTTCCTGCCCGGTTCCAGGGGTGCTGGGAGGGCACTGAGAGAGCCCACAGGCCTCGCTTTCCAAGGAGGTCTTCACGCTGCTCCCCAGCCAGGGTCTGTGCCTCAGGCCTTTCCCCAGCGGGCCTTCGGGAAGGTCCCCCAGAGGGCCCCACAGAGCTGCAGGCCTACTGGGGACAGGACATGCAGGAACACGGGGGACGCTTCTCCCCAAAAGGGATCCATGGAGACGCAGAGACCCGTGGAGAACAGAGGCTGCTCAGCATGGGCAAGCAAGAATTCAGAGGGAGCTTCTGAAATCCAGGGGCCACCACGGTAGGGGGAAAGTGCTTGCCATGGAAGGCTTTAAAAGGGGAATCTGGGACCAACGGGCAGCACTGGACTCCACGCTCCACACTGTGCCCTGGGCGGGCTCGTCCTGCCTCATGTCCTCTAAGCAGCTGGGACCAGCTTCAGAGGGGGGCCATATTCATGGGGCAGCCAAGGTTAGAGACCAAACAAGCGGGAATTCTGATGGCCACCGTGGCCGTGGCAGTTCAAGGGCCACCCAGGACCCTTGCCGACCCTCCTCTCACCTGACAAGAGCTTTGACTGTGGACCGGACCACACTGGACAGCAGGAACAGCGGCGTGACCAGGATGTGGAAGAGGGAGAGGGAGGCGAAGGCCACTGAGGGGGAGAAGCCGGTGCCTTTGAAGAAGTTGACGTGGCCCACAAAAGTCTGTGGACAGAGACACAAGTAAGAGGGGAGGTGTGTGTGTGTGTGTGTGTGTGTGTGTGTGTGTGTGTGTGTGTGTGTGTGTGTGTGTTTGAGAGAGAGTATGTGTGTTTGTGTGAGAGTGTGTGTGTAAGTGTGAGTGTAGGCATGTGGGTGAGTGTATGTGCAAGTGTGTGTGTGTGTGTGTGTGTGTGTGTGTGTGTGTGAGAGAGAGAGAGAGAGAGAGAGAGAGAGAGAGAGAGAGAGAGAGAGAGAGAGAGAGAGAGGAGTCACCCAGTCTGGCAGCTCAGCCTCTGGGAAAGAAGTGGAAGGGCAGGAACTACAGGAAGAAGGGGCCATTGGGTCTGAGGCATTGTCCTCCTGCCCCTCACAGCCGTCTAGGACTTCAGGCTGCAGGGCAGGGAGGAGCTGTCCGGCTTGGGGAGGCTCCATCCTCAGAGAGCCCATCCTCAGTACAAGAAAAAACAGATACAAACATTATCCTCCCTTACCCTCCATGCTTCTCCCAACTCCAACCCACCACTGCTGCTGGCTGGTAGTGACCTCTGCGACCCAGAGCTCCCCAAAGACCCCGACGACGATGACCCAGCCAGTCAGTCAGTCGTGTAGTGAATTCCTGGGCACATCTGACAGGCTGTGGGCTCATGGCCATAGCGAGATGCTGGCTTTGGGGACAGGGATAAAAACCCATGCTTCCTTTCAAAGTACTGCCCAGCCCAGGGGGTGGGGGGGTCGGTCTCGGGGGAGCCCAGGGGATGGGAGCTACAGGCTATGGGCACCCACAGCCCACCCTCGCTCACACGGAGCACCGGGCCAAAGCCTGACACAGCATCCTATTTCACAATGTGGCTGGGTCGCTGCCACATTCTTAAATCTCAAAAGGCAGAAGACAGAATCTGCAACCCAAGCCTATTTTTGTAGAAAATGTTTTATTCTGTACCCAGAAAAAAAAACCTGGCAGAGCAGTGTAGAAGCTGCTGGCAGGGGGACAGGCCACTGGCTCCCGGCTCCCCTGTCCCGCGACCCCATATACCCCCAGCAAACATGCTGCATGGTAGAGTTAAGCCTCAGCATTTTCTTTTTTCTTTTCTTTTCTTTTCTTTTCTTTTTTTTTTAAGTTTGATTTCTCTGCAGATGAACCCACTGGGCTGTCCAAGCTGGGGGACCCCTCCCTATCCTCTTAATCCCTCCCCCTGTTTCCAGCCCAGCCGAGGAGCCACCTGAAGTTGGGGTGGCTCCATGACCCCAGCCCGCCCCCACTCCCCACCAGTTGGAGAGGTTCCACTTACGATGAGGACGGCAGCAATGGGGATGGCGGTGTTCATGAAGACTGTGGAGGAAGAGAGCGGGGTCAGGAGGCAGAGCAGCCTTGGGGGGCTGGGGGGTGGGATGGGAGGGCCAGAACCTTGCCCTCGTTTCCCTTAGGACTCTTGTCTCACATCTCTGAGATGTGGATTTGGTTTTATTGTTGCTTTGTAGTGTCGGGGATCGAACCCAGGGCCTCACATATGCTGAGCTATTTCCCGAGCCCTGAGATATGAGTCTTTATTTTGCGTGCGTGTGTGTGTGTGTGTGTGTGTGTGTGTGTGTAGAGGAGGATTTAAAGATTTGGGCCACACCTGGCAGTGCTCAGGGCTTATGCCTGCTCCTGGATTCAGGGTTTCTAGGGGGACCATATGGGGTGCCAGGGATCAAGCTGGATTCAGCTGCAAGCAAGGTAAACACCTGCATCCCGTACTATCTTCCACACTATCCTCCGGCTCATGATGTTGGGTTTGCTGGTTTGTTTGGGGTCCAGACAAGGAGGTGCTCAGGGGTTAAGTCCAGGTCTGCGCTGGGGTGGGAGTATGTGGATCCTAACAGTGCTGAGGGATCATGCAGTGATAGGGGTTGGACCCAGGTCTCCCCCCCCCCCCCCCTTGAGCTGTCTTTCTGGTCCCCTCTTCTGTCCCTCTCTATTCATCTCCGTCAGTGAGCCAATTCTCCATCTACAGAAGGCACGGCACCCCTCCCCCACCACCTCAGCCCCCAGCACACTCCCCCCCGCCCCCACCCCTGCCATGACCTCTCCCACAGGTTTCTTTCGGGTCATTCTGAGCTCAAGAACAGTCTGGGAGTTAGGCTGAACATAGGTCCATCTCTCCTAGAAAGCAATCTGGTGCATTGGAGCTTGAACCACACAGTTCAGATCTGATCCTATTATCCCTCTCCTGGGAATCTGCCCTGAATAAATCACTCAAGAAACACACAAAGCCTTTGGCAAAATGGTGTTTGCTATAGCATTAGCTGTCAGAGTGAAACAAAACCACAACCACTGCAACCAGCCACCCAAAACAAAACCCACGGCAAATGGGAACGCAAAGAGGTTGTTTCCATAAATGTGGGAAGGCCCTGAAGTCAGAAATTAGGTGATATCTGACCTTTTGTTCACCTGCCAGTGTTCCCTGCTTGTGATGTTTCAAATCTCTCTATTTCTCCTATTCATCGTCTTTATTCTTGGAGCTGCCTGAACTCTTTTGAGGAATGAGACAAGCTATAAATAAATTTAAAAATGAGTGTCGCTGAACTGATGCAGCTACAGAGAGAATGCTTATGACAGGACTAATTTCTGCCCTGTTCTGGAAGATGTTAAAGGATGAAGATTCGATTTTCTATTTTCCTCATTATTTGCCTCCTGGGAAGCCCAGGCTCCTAAGAGCAGGTGAGACCCAGTCCTTGCAGGAGCTCACTGCATCCCTTCCTGCCCCTGCCCCTCAGAGAGTTGCTGTGACCCTGTCTTCCTTCCTAGACTGAGAACTCCCCCGAAGTCAGGGTTCTGCACCTCCTATACCCAGCATAGGTCCTGGTACCTAGTAGATGCTCAGCTAACACGTGTGAGATCAATGACTGAAAGACACAAAGAGGCATGGACAGATGAGAGTCATAGAAGGGAAAGCAGGGCCCTGGTTCTGATTCATGCAGGCCAGCCATGGCTCATGGCACTGTCCCCATGAGGCCACCATGCTAAGGACCTGCTTCCTCTCCAAAGTGCAGGGCGTTGGGATGGAGAGAGAGCTCAGTGGGTGAGGTGCTTGCCTTGCACGCGGCTGTCCCTGGTTAGTTCCGCTGCACCACCTATGGTCCCCTGAATACTGCCAGGGCTCACATCTGAGCACAGAGAAGTCTTTGATAGTTTCTAGGTACAATCCCTGTCTCCCTCTCTCCCCCTCGAAAAAAATCCAGGCCCAGGGCCTCACTAGAATATGGTACAGAGGAGAGAAGGGGCTGGAATGGAAGTCTCATAAAGGACACAGAAGGCCAGAGAGTACAGTGGCTTTGGTGTTGAACATTGGCAGGTCTGGGTTCGATCCCAGGCATCACATATGGTGACCCGGAGCCCCTTCAGGAATGATCCAAGTGCAAACATTTCACTGTTTGCTTTATCCTTTCTTTCTTCCCTTCTCTCTTGCTAGGTAAATAAAAATGTAGCTATAAAGTCCAGTCCTGAAACATTTGCGAACACGATGCCTATTTAGGCCTAACTACTTTGGTATATATCTCCTAAGAGAAAGCAATTTTCTTACAGAAGATTAAAATCGGCTCAGTATTTAAAATATATATATTATATATATTGATTTTTTTTAAGCCCCAAGCATCACTGGGTGTGACTCACTGACAGAGGAAACAGCGAGACCTTGGCTGGCTGACTGGAGAGTCCAGCACCACTGTCAGTCCTGCAAAACTGGTTCCCAAGCACATGGCCAGCCTGGACCCTGAGGTCACAGCTTCTTTAAAGAAAGTGAGCTCCCGTCGAAGGGGCGTGTCCCAGCGAAGCCCCGCCCATCCATCGAGGCACCCCCCCCCCCCCCACACACACACACACACACAGCCACTTACATAGAGCAGGGGTGAGGAGTGCCCTTTCCACTTGGGCATCCTTCATCTCCGTTCTTTTTTTTTTTCTCCTTTATGGGTCACACCCAGCGATGCACAGGGGTTACTCCTGACTTTTGCACTCAGGAACTACTCCTGGCAGTGCTCGGGGGACCATATGGGATGCCGGGAATCAAACCGGGTCGGCCATGTGCAAGGCAAACACCCTACCCACTGCACTATTGCTCCAGCCCCTCATCTCCGTTCTTTATTCGCTTTAGATCTCACAGAGTCTTCACATCTCCCTGAAGTTCACATCACCTCCATCTTCTCTTCTGTTCAATGGGGCCTTCCCTGCCCCCACTGCCCAGATAATGAGGATTAAGTGCACATAGCTGAGTGCTCAGGGCCAGCTATATGGATGCTCACTGGCTTCCCAGCAGAGGCCAAACCCCCAGAGAACAGGGAGCGGCTTTCCCAGACAGATTTTGATACCCAGGGAAACGAGAATTGTTTGCTTTTCCACTCTGGGTGCTCTGCCCTGCACTCAGGGATGCTGACAGCAGGCAATGGGGGGAGGGAGGGTGTCACTGAGTCTCCCCACAGGACTGAGCAGACTGAGCCAGGCTGCTGGGCCCCGTCAGGAAACAGGATTCGGGCCCATGAGGCTGGCACCGGGAGGATGAAAGCTGCCCCATTACCTGCAGCTAATGACCTGTGTCCTAATCCCTGAGGACAAAATAGAAGATAGGAGGCCCAGGAGGTCAATGAAAATGCACTCAAATTATCTACCTGCATCTGGGGGGGGGTCTCACTTCCCCCAGTAACCCCCAAATGTTACCTGCAGCTAGGAGGGGAGCACCTTCATTCCCCCCCCCCCACCCCCAGAGCCCACACCAAGACAGATATGGGAGGGAAAGCAAACATTGATGGCCTGGGCTTTCACAGGTCCCCTGGGGGTTCCCTCCTGCTCTTCTGAACCCCCCGGGACCAGCCCAGGCTGCTCTGCTCAGTCTTGCAGGTGGCTGAGTCCTGGCCTTGCTCTGGAGCTCTGGGCAGACCCTTCTTTCCCCCCAGAGTCCTATTGGTTTGTGACAACAAAGACCTTTTCCTCAGAGCCTGGGGGCCCTTCCCAAGGCCCTGGCCCCTCTGCTGAGGGCTAGCTGGGAACTGAGGCATCTTAGACTGCCAAGGACTTCAACAAGCATCCCAGGCTGCTGCAGAAAAGCAGAACATGGGTGCACGTCCTCCAGGGGCCAAGTGGCCGCCAGCTGCCCCCACTCATAGGGTGCTGTCCCTACTCTGCGCATAGGGTCCTGGGGTCTCCGATTTCCCTGCTCTTCCTCTTGCCTCTCTCTCCCCTGGCAGCAACAGGAAGCTGGCCAACCTCCCCTGGTTGTAGGAGGAGTGTCCTGGCTGTGGGACACTATAGCCCCTGTCCCTGGGGGAATACCTAGACGGAGCCACCTGGACCTGGAGTGCAGCTCCATAACCAGGGGTCACTGGTCTCGGGGAAAGGCAGGGCTGGCAGAGGAAGGAGGCTGGTGGGGGCCTGGGGCTGTCTCTCTCTAGCTCCCTAGATGTCTCTCCCCAGGGGATTGGTGGCCCTCAAGACCCCAGAGTTGGAGCTGAGAGGAAATGGGAGACTCTAGGGCCAACCCTGTTTTGGTGCAGCTCCAGCTGTCAGCCTCATGCCCAACTGCCTGACACACACACACCCTGGCAGGACACACACCCAGAAGCTGCTGCGGCTGGGGGACAGTTTGACCCTACTGGCTGGACCCCAAACCCCACCTGGGGCCTAGGACACGCTCAGTGCATGTCCTGCTTGGGGAGCCCCTTGGGGGGTGGGGTGGCCACTGGCCCCAGCAGAGCCACGTGACCACTGGCAGCACAGCTGTGTGAGCTCCTTTCCTTGCACTTTCCTGGCTCTCCAGCCCCTGCCTGCCACCCCCAGAGGCCCCGGAACTTTCTTGGTCATAGCAGAAGGGTCAATTCTAGGTGGAGGAGCAGTGGGGGTGCCCTGTTCTCCTCCTCGGTGCCCAGCTGAGTATGTCTTCCACCCTGAGAAAACAGCACAGAAATAGTGTCCCACTGTGTTCTGAGTCTGGTCCCTCAACTCAGCCTCCAGCTCTTCATGAGAAACAGCAGGAGGCTCAGAACCAAACATGGGAGAATGTCACTAAGCCATGGGGTTCAGGTCAGGAGGGCCTTAAGGAGGTGCCCCTCAATTTCCCATCTGAGAGACACACCTCTCCCCCAGTGGCCTGGCAGAAAACATCTTCCATTCACCCCTCCCCTTCCTGGTTCACAAAGATATTTGGGTTCACATATTCACAGATGCCCTCCTTTTGCAGGGGGTTTGGTTTTTGCTCAGGGACTACTCCTGGCTCTGAGCACAGGAATTACTCCTGGCACTGCACTGGAGACCATATGGGATTCCAGGGATCAAACCTAGATTGGTTGTGTGCAGGGCAGGCACCTTACCTGCCATGCTATCTCTGTGGCCCCACACAGATACTCTCTTTACCCTGGATAGTGGTGCTTCAAATTCAGTAACTGAGGGTCAGAGTGATGGTTCAGTGGGTAGGGCTCTTGCCTTGCACACGGCCCATCCTCAGCACCCCCAGATGGTTTCCTGAGGCCACCAGGAATGATCCCTGAATGCAGAGTCAGAAGTAAGCCCTGAGCACCGCTGGGTGTGACCCAAACACAAAGAAATTCAGGAAGTGAAATTTCCACCGTGGAAGCTCATCTGACCCTCTTTCTTCTGGTGCTTTATGTTTGGACCTTGTTGGCGGTACACTTGCCTTGAGTGATTTCTTGTGATCATAAGCATTCTATTATCTCTTTCAGACTATCTATTCACCTCCAGGTCTTGAGGGACCAATTCTCTGATTCCTGCCCCTGCAGAAATTCTCCTGTGATATTAATTCATTATCTGCTCCTTGTTCAGTCAGAGTTTGTCACTAGATTTCCTTGTTCTCTGGAAACGGGAGTAATAGGTGTGTCTGTTGGGATCTAGGACATTTTTTTTTTCCTTTTTGGGTCACAATGATGCTCAGGGGTTACTCCTGGCTCTGCACTCAGAAGTCACTCCTGGTGGTGCTTGAGGGACCATATGGGATGCTGGGGATTGAACCTAGGTCGGCTGCGTGCAAGGTAAACACCCTACCCGCTGTACGATCGCTCTAGCCCCAGATCTAGGAATTTTTAAATTTATTTTATTTTTGCTTTTTGAGTCACACCCGGCGATGCTCAGGGGTTACTCCTGGCTTTGCACTCAGGAATTACTCCTGGCAGTGCTCAGGGGACCATATGGGATGCTGGGAATCGAACCCAGTTTGGTCGTGTGCAACACCCTACCCGCTGTACTATGGCTCCAGCCCCAGATTTAGGAATTTAAAAAAAAAAAGCTTTAGGCCTGTTTGGCTCAATTTGCTGGACTTGAGGTTCCTAGAGCACCTGGTCATGTGTCACCCTCCCCCTGTGAGCACTGTAAGCAAGAGCTTCTGTTCTTCAGAGAACACCTTCTTCGGGTCAGGAGATGATTCATAATGCTGAGACCTGGCTTCCATCCCCCCCACCCCCACCTTGGCCCCAGCACCACCAGAGGTGAGCCTCAAGCACAGGATCAGGGGCAGCCCCTGAGCATCACTGGGTGTGTTTCCCGCCCCCGCCCCCCAAATCAACAACAGCAATGGGATAGAGGACCTTTCTCCTTCTAGGCAGATGGATGCTTCCCCTGGGGTCCAGGCTGCTCTGTCTGATTTAAAGCAAAGACATCCTCACACACAGCCGGGAAGCACCATCTTCTGCTGCTTGTTGCTAACCCATCTGCATCTCCATGGTCCTGTCCGTCTCCCACCTCTGTGTCCGGCAGTCCAGCACTGCTCCACTCAAGGTGGGCTCAGTATTCAGGGTACCTGACTGGATAGTCCACTAGCTTCCAAGACACTTCGGGGCTGGCCTGGATGGGATGATCCCAAAGCCTCCCAGTTTCCCCCCTTCCCTCTGGCTGCCCCCTCAGACCCTGACCCCACCCCAGCCCTTATCCCAGCTCCCCAGCAGCAGCAGTGGCAGCAGACTCACTGGAGATGGACGTGTAGACAGCGAAGGCCCTGAGACTGGTCATCTCCTTCTTACGTGTCCTCTCCACCCTGGTGCAGAAGATATTTTCCCAGGCGTACAGCTTGAGCAGTTTGATGCCACGGAGCATCTCGTTGGTTTGCTTCAGCCTCTCGTTGGAATATTCCTGCCGGGGATGACCAAGTCAGAGCTGACCTGGGGCCTCCTGCCTCCCCCCCCCCCCCCCCCCCCGCCTCCATTCACATTCGTCCTACTTCACAGACAAAGAAACTTCACAGACAAAGAGGCATGGATAGAGTGGACATGCATGGCCTGGGGGTGGGGAGAGGGACACTCACCAGTGTGCTCCGCTGGGCCTGGGAGAGCTTGGTGGCCACAAAGTACTGGACAGGGGCCAGCAGGATGATGACCGCCGCTCCAATTAAGGCACTGACTCCGAGGATGTAGTAGAGAAGAATCACGCCCACGATGATCTGCGAGGAGGGTTTCTGGGGGTGAATGCCTTCAAAACCCACCCCCCGCCTGACGCAGTCCCATTGGAAGGGGACGTGCCATGGTGTCCAGGTTTTTAAACTGTCTCCCAGGTGGTGGAGGAGGGACAAAGCGGGGCATACAGAAGGTCCCCATCTCTGCAGGAGGGCGGGCGTGCGGTAACCCTGGGTGAGTCTGAGGTTCACAGTGGAACCTCTGGGTTGAGTCTGGACCCTGGGCCACCAGACTGTGCTCTGCATGAGCTAAAAAGCAAGACTGCCCCTTTCATGCCAGACAGACTCAGTCTGGGCTCTGAGCATTTGCTCTTCTTTCTTCTGCTCCTGGCACCTTTGAAATTTTAGTGAGCTTGCCCAGAGTGCTCTGAAAGGAGAATTCACCAAGCAGTGCCGCTAGCTGTATGGAAATATCGCCTGCTTCTGAATATTCATGAGAAGTATAAATGACTCTTGCTAGCCCCCAGAGCGTCAGGATGACAACTTCCCGGGTTGCCTTCAAAGGCTGGAGCCTCGAAAGGCAGGGCTTATTCAGGAATTACTCCTGGCAGTGTTTGAGGGCCCATATGGGATGTCGGGGATTGAAACTGGATTGGCCATGTGCAAGGCAAGCATGGCTCAAGTTCTTATCTTTTAAAAGGTCTAGATGGCAAATTTTTTTTTTTCAAATCAGTCAGAGTCATCCTGGACAAGGAATGGGCCTTCTGAGCCCCCAGTGGTATTGTGAAATCCCGGTACCCTGCTACCACCAGGCTTGCACAATGAATCCTGACCAGAACAAAGACACTGTAGCAACTCCTAAATCTTGAGAGCTGACTACAGCTCTAAGTGCAAAGGGAAAGCCTGTGAGCAATGATGAACATCAAAGTAAATGATACTTCTTGATCCATGAGCAAAGGTAATTGATTTATGTGGAAATAATTTTCTACTCCCCAGGGTTGAGAGTCTGGAACAGAACCAGACGCAGGGCAGGTGGCTATTAGCTTTTAGTATTAATATTTCTAGCAATGTTGCATGTGAGCTAAACATTAAACGGAAGAGTAAGGATGCCAACGCAGCAGGCTTGGTGAGAAAAAATCACAACGGTGGTTCCAAAAAACACAACAGGAGCTGGAGCGATAGTAAAGAGGGTAGGGAGCTTGCCTTGTGCATAGCGGACCTGGGGTCTATCCCAGGCACCCCTATATGGTTCCCTGAGACAACCAGGAGTGATCCCTGAACAGAGAACTAAGAGTAAGCCCTGTGTACCACCGGGTGTGGCCCTCAAATGACTCCCCCTGCCCCCGCCAACCAAAAGCACAACAGAAGGGACAAAAGACCAGGAACTGGGTTAGAAGCGCTCACCAATCCCTTCTCCAGCCTTTTTAGCCTCTTGTTCCAGGGACCAGGGATGGCCAAGGGGTCTGGGGGGTGAACATCCATCAGAATCCTATCCTCCATCCCTCTCTCAAGGAGCTGCCTCTCTGCATAAGCTTTCCCTTCTATTTATTTTTTTTTTTAACATTTTCAAATATAAGCTGAACAGCTGAGAAGGAACAGTGAAATGGACCAGAGATTCAGGCTGATGAAATCTGCATCCAGAGAAGCTTTGGATTTCAGCCTAGTAAAGCCTTGACATCACAACCTGCCAGTGAGAGGCAGCTGATCACTTACCCGTTTATTCGTCCATGGCTGGCTTTGGGGCTTGGCTGATATCAACTAATGGAATCATCATAGCAGCTGCCCAGGGTGGGGATCATTCCCATTTCACAGATAGAGAGACTGAGGTTCAGAGAGTTTAAATATTGAATCAGCCTGTCTCACTCACTAAGTGCAGATGATTTAGCTGCACTAAGCAGTCCCCTGGGGTTGGCATTTTTCTAGGGATGGTCTGGGACCCTGAGCAAAGATGTGTTGGGATCACAATTTAGTGAGGAGGGACTGTGGATGGGCTGGTGTCAGCGCAGTCCTGCCTGGGACTCTCCTGCCGTCATGGTGTGGGGAGACTGCAGCTCCTTCTTAGCCAGCCCCAGTCGTGACTCTAACAGCAACCCTACTTTTGACTATCAGAGATAAATGCATACTGAGCAGAAAGAAAATAAAAATCGTTTGTAATCCTACCATGCAGCCTTCCAGTTCTTGTTTCTGTGTGAATCCACGCAAGTGTATAAATACACATCCCAATTTAGTCATGTGTGCACCGAGCCGGCTATTTTGGAATTTATTCTTTTTTGAGGAAAAATACTTCGTGAGGTTTTATACTTTGGGCCAGGGAGAGGGCCCAAAGGGGTGAGCGTGTGCTTTGTACACAGGATCCCCTGGTTCAATCCCTGCCCCAACCTGACCCCCAGTACCACCTAGAGCAAGTCCTGACCACCATGCCAAGCTGTCCTTCCCCTGGGCACTGTGACCCCAGAACAACTCCAAGCACCAACCCAGAGCCTCAAGCATGCAAACTGTATGCTCTGCCACTCAGCCATAGGCCCAGCCCTGCAAGCATGCCCTGTGCAGAATTATCTTACACACGTATGTTTAATATTGGCTGTAGTTTGTTTTAAAGGCATCACAATATCATCTTCCCTGATCATCGAGAGAAATGGTGAGCTCTCTCTCTCTCTCTCTTTTTTTCCTTTTTGGGTCACACCTGGTGATGCACAGGGGTTACTTCTGGCTTTGCTCTCAGGAATTACTCCTGGCAGTGCTTGGGGGACCATATGGGATGCTGGGAATCAAACCCGGGTCAGCCATGTACAAGGCAAACGCCCCATCTGCTCTACTATCACGCCAGCTCCTGGCCAGATCTCTTGCCAAATGTGAAATAGTACAAGGTGCCAGGGGTACAGCTCCTGACACCCCAGAAGATGACAGTGCAGACAGCAACGTGGACTGGAAGAGGTCGACTCCTAATCACTCGACAAGGACCAACAGATTCTGTATTCATGCCCCCTGTCACCTCCCCAAGCCCTCCTTACCTGGACTGGCATAGCCCAGAGGTTTGGGCACAGAAAGAAAAACCACATGAGCTGGTTGGTGTCGATGGCAACCAGGTTACAGATCTGTCCGGCGGTCATCTCGCCCATGGATAGGTTGGAGGTGGACAAATGCATAATTTTATTATAAATCTTGGTCTGGAAATGAGAGAGAAGGTTTTATACTCATCACCTGTGCTGAGGACCCAGGGCACTGTGTGTCTACACTGTGTTCAGTCTTTGCAGGCTTTTCCTCATGGGCCCTCTGAGCAGCTCTGTAAGGGGGCGCTGTGTAACTCTTCCAGCTCTACACACAAGGAAACAAACGCTCTGGGAGGCAAAGAAAAGACAGGGAGTCAGAGAGGCAGAATTTCAAGGAGGGGTAAAAGGTAAAGGTAAAGACCCTCCCGTTGTTCATTGATTTGCTCAAGCAGGCCCAGTAACGTCTCCTTTGGAGACTTTGTTGTTACTGTGTTTGGCATATCGAATACATCACGGGTAGCTTGCCAGGCTCTGTCGTGCGGGCGAGATACTCTTGGTAGCTTGCCGGGCTCTCCGAGAGGGGCGGAGGAATTGAACTCGGGTTGGCCATGTCGGCTGCGTGCAAGGCAAATGCCCTACCACTGTGCTATCGCAAGAGGGTAAGGCAACCAACACCCTTCCTGGATAAATCTCTCTCTCTTTCTCAACTTAATTAGCTCATAAACCTTAAAAGCAGATCTTCGTGTTCAGTTGTTTTCTTGATTTACCAGATGCCAGTGGACAATACATCTCAGAGCCACAAAAATGAAAAACTGGGACAAGCCTTCTGTTCCAAAGTGACTATTTACAACCAGGAAGTGAGAAAGTTCTGGGAAAGTCCAACTTAATGGAGCCTTGAAACAAAATAAGGGCTCAGCTTGTGCCAGCGTTATGAACATCAGTCAGCCCCACTGCTGTCCAGCACCCCCATGGCCCTCTCCTGACTCCTGAGGGCAGGTAAGATCAGATGGAGCAATGGCCTCTCCTGAGGTCTGAAACTAAAAGCGCTGCTTGTGCAGAGATTCTGTCTCCAGAAAGATGGCAACTTTCAGCTCCATGTTCTCCAACAAGAAAAAAAATTTTTTTTCTTTTAAATATCCAAGGGATGTCAGCTCTTTTGGGGGAAATGAGGGAGGGCACACCTGGTGTTGTTCAGGGCTTACTCCTAGCTCTGCACTCAGGGATCACTCCTGGTGGAACCAGGAGACCATGTGGCATACCAAAAATCTAACTGGGTCAGCAAGGCAAGCGCCCTATCAGCTGTGCTATCACTACGGCCCCTGAGATGCCAACTCCTAAGTGAAATTAGACCATGTGTTCTGTGGTAAGATGATTCTCAACCCTTAATCTATCCTTCAAGTAAGGCCAGGCTTTCCTGTGGGTCAGGTTTGCTTACAGCGTGAGCTGATTCTAAGCCACTTCGTGACTTGATATATACCACGGGAAGGTTTAAAATAATTGCAATGACCTTCTTTAGACAAATCGAAGCACATTCTAAGTTAGGTGAAATCAGTCTCCAAAGAGAAACGATACATGTAGTTTCAGTGAAAGAGCGTTGATCAAATCAAGCATAATGTGAAAAAACAGAGGACGCAGGCATATAGTTACTTGAGAGCTGGTACATGCATATAAAAAAAAAACCCTATATATAGTACAGGAATTGTGCCTAATGACTTATGCAAGAACAGTGATTATTCTCAAGATTATTCTGAAGATATAGACCTGTACCTATTTTCTGTAAGTCTTCTGAAAGGAAGAAGAATCCCTTTCTTTCTAATTTGTTTCCATAATTAATGCCAGCATTTCCTTTTTGCGCCACACACATTAATCCTTCTTACTAATGCAAAAGATTCACTGACAGTTTGATAAAACCAATTACATGCTAATACATAAAAAAATATTTGACTCTTTTAACATAATGAGAAAATATTGGGCCTGTGTGATTTATGACATTCGAATAGCAGGGAAATTAAATTACAAAACCATTCAACTAGAAAATTGGCTGTTGCTGGTGGTGGTGTATACCTGCTGTCACTGGTGAGGTCTGGGGGGGAGGCTGAGATTTTATGAGAGGTTCTCTGATCTCAGAGACAATTTGGTTCCTACCACCTCTGAAACTCCAGTGAATCTTGGATAATCTTGAATTTTCCTGTGCTCTTTCCACCTCTGAACCCCAGCGAGTCTGAATTGGTCTTAGATAGTCTCAGCACTTCCAATCATTCTCACAGGATGCCGTTCCCGTGGACTGACTTTGCTTCCTCAGTGAAACACCAGTGGGTGTGAGCAGTTCTGCCATGGGCAGCCACACAGTTTGCGTACTACACAACTCTGAGGCTGCCTCTTCATATAAATGTCACCGAGATAAACTTGGACCCTGGCACTGCTCCCAGCCCAGGCTGTCCCTTTCTCCTTTTAGTCCCTTTTCTGAAAACCTTCTGATCTTGAATCCCAGAGGGACCACTCAATGATTCCGAGGAACATTCTTCAAGAACTCGTATTTTTTTTTTTTGGTTAAAACACACACACACACACACACACACACACACACACACACACACATTTTGGGATTTGATAACTTCTGAGAATTCTGCTGCCTTCAGGGGGAAATAGTGAAACCTGTTAGTGGTTCCCCCATTTTTTCCCGCTTTTCCAAGGAGAATTTTTAGCAGGCACATGTAGATGTCTAGGATAAAGACCACACTTTGTAGCCTTTCGACGGATGACCAGTGGTCAAGTTCTCACCACTGGGGAGAGCTTGTGCGTTATGGTTTGATTTTAATTTCTTTCACGGCCCCCATGTTTATTTGTTTGTTTGTTTGCAAGGGTTGGGTGGAATTGGGACCACACCCAGCAGTACTCAGGACTTATTCCTGGCCCTATTAGTGCCAGGGATTCTTTAAAGTTAGCCAGGTGCAAGGCAAGTGCCTTAACCCCTGTACTATCTCTCCAGAGACCTACATCACGGCTTTTAAAGAAGCAGAATTTCCTCCTATGGTTCCACCTTTCTTCTCACTGCCAGGCACTGCCAGAAATAGTGGCAATTTCTAGCATCCTCTTGACTCAGGAGACAAAAGTCACGTGAGAAGACTGGCAGAGCAACACTGCAGAAAGGGGGATTGTGTAGCAGCCGCACCAGTCCCAACTCAAGATGAAAACAAATTGTCTTATGTAAACCACCCTCTCCCTGAGACGCCCTGCTTCAACAACCGCAGCCACATTCTTGTGGGAACCCTGTGATTTAGACAACCCTTATCACCACCTTGTCTAAAAGGGGCTCAGAATGCTTCCTAACTCGGCTCAACCTTCCAACCAGCTTTGAGCAAGGAGCCCCAGCTGACAGAAGCATGATTGCAGGCACCTAGGAGACCCAGTCTCCCACTGTGACCCGGAAGAAGACCCAGACCCAGAGTCGCGCTGTGACCCGGAAGAAGACCCAGTCTCTCACTGTGACCTCGAAATAATAGATGGGTCACAGTGGCTCCCTCACAAGAGTACAATGTTATAGTATGCCATAAACCTTTCTTTCTTTCTTTCTTTCTTTCTTTCTTTCTTTCTTTCTTTCTTTCTTTCTTTCTTCCTTCCTTCTTTTTCTTTTTTTTTCTTTTTTGCATCTGGAGAAGACTAGAGGAGGGTCTGAAGGAGGATTTTGCACCACATCTATACCCAGCAGGAAAGAGTTTGTGTGCTCTATGCATAAGTTTGGTCCCATTCAAGGCTGCGCAGCTCGTGCACAGTCAGGGCCGGGCGACAAGCATCACCTTCCCCCATTGCAGCCCAGGACATCTTCCGCTATCTCACATTGCCATATGGATGGGCATCGTTTCAAGGCACGGGGTAAAGGCAGCAAACAAATTCAGAGCAGATATAACTGAGTATCCTTGAGGAGGAATAAGGCCAGTTTTACTATGAAAAGAAGGGGGAGAAATCATGCAAATACCTGTATGGCTCCTCTCAAGTTAATTCCCGTTTCAATGGCCACGTAGTAGGACGCCTGCAGAAATGTCCTTTGCAGGAGGAGGGCAAGGAAGAGCAGCACGGCTAAGACATAGGCGTTGGCCAGGAACTCTTGGGAGGAGACAAAGTAGACCCCCAGGAACTGTGTCTGTGGGAAAGAGAAATTTGCAGGTGGCGGTTATGATCTGCTAGATGACCCGGTTAGTATCTGTCCCTATCCCATTATAGCCTCTATTCTAGAACTGTCCACGCTTGTCAAACCTATGAAACTGCTGACAACACCTCAAATAAAGCATTCTCCTGGCCTCAGAGAGGGCAGTCTAGACCAGTGGTTTCAGGCACCGAGCCATGAACTGGTGAGAATGTGAAAGTCTCAAGAGGTTGAAAACCCCTGGTTTAGACTTCTCAGTCCACCTCTGAGGGAGAAGAACAGGGCTCAGGTCCAACCTTGTGCCAGTGTGAGTCTCAGTATTGTGGCCAGCGGACCCAGAGGCGCTCCCTCTGAATGGAACGAGAATAAGCAGAATGAATCACAGTACAACCCCGAGCACAGCTGTTAGAGCCAACCCCACGATGCACGGTCTCTGCTTATGGGATCGGAGCCAGCTCCAGGCCTCGTCCCATACTCCCCAACAGTCTGTTGTGGAGTTATTTGGGAGCAGAGAAGACCAGTGAGAACAGGCCCCTGCAGGGTTCCCAGCCCAGAGAAGGGAACTCATCAGCTGGAAAAGTTGGCAAAGATTCTTGACCCCCGCCCTGAAGTCCTTTCCCCGGGAAGGGTCTTTTCAGCTGCACCTCCGGCCAGATCTCACATGAGATGCAGCGGAGAGAAACAAATGTTTGACTCTGTTGCTAATGATACCAGGGACCAACAGCCCATCTGTTTCCAAATTCAGCATCCCCAGCTCCCAGGAAAACTTTGATCTGGATGAGGTTCATGACTCGCCAGCAGGGCCAGAGCAATATTTCCATGAAGCTATAGTTCAACCTCTTCCCCTTCAGAGACGCTGCCCTGAGCCCAGTCAGCTATTTGGGAGGCTGTGGGAGTGGCTGTCAGCTGTGGAGGGGGGAAAGGAAATGATGGGAAGGTGCCTGAGGCCATGTCCTGCCTGGGGGACAGAGAATCAAGGTCAGGGTTCTAAACTATGTCCTCTTCTTGGGTCAAGAATTCCTGGCTCCATCGGGTAGACAGGGCTTCCTCCCCACAGACACATTCTTTTTTTTTTTTTTTTACAATATAACCTATATTTTATTTATCTGTTAAAATAAAATAATCCAAAAAATGTTCAGAAAGCTTATTCAAAAATCTATGCCTAATCCAATCTTCTTTAAAATTTATGGAAACTTAGCTGGAAGCCTGCCTCATAAGCGGAGGAGAAAAGGCAGCTGGAATAACGAAGGAATCACTAAGAAAATGATGGCTGGAAGAATCAGTCGGGATGGGAGATGTATGTCGAACGTAGATAATGGACCAAACATGATGACCTCTCAGTGTCTGTATTGCAAATCATAATGCCCAAAAGTAGAGAGAATATGGGGAATATTGTCTGCCATGGAGGCAGGGGGAGGGTGGGGAAGGGGGGTATACTGGGGAGATTGGTGGTGGGGAATGTGCACTGGTGGAGGGATGGGTGTTTGATCATTGTGTGACTGTAACCCAAACATGAAGACTTGTAACTTTCTCACGGTGATTCAATAAAATAAAAAAAAATTTATGGAAACTTATATTTCACTTATGTTATTTTTTTTGTTATCTTCTTTTCTTGCATCCATTAGATCTTTTATTTATTTATTTTTATTATTACTATTAATTTTATTTTTTAATGAATCACCATGAGGTACAGTTACAAACTTACAAACTTTTGTGCTTACATTTCAGTCATACAATGATCGAGTATCCATCTCTCCACCAATGCCCATTCTCCACCACCAATGTTCCCAGTATCCCTCCCAACCACCCCCACCCATCTTCCCCTGCCCCACACCCCCCACCTCGGTGGCAGGTGCATTCCCTTATATCCTTGGATGTTAGTCTCCTATTCCCCACAGACACATTCTTGTCTCTTGGTTCAATGGGCTCTTTAAGTCAGCGAGCACTGCTTGATGGAGCTGTTCCTGCAAATAGCTCTCTCTCCCTTCCTTGGGTGTGTGTGTGTTGAGAGGGTGGGTTTCTTTGGGGAATAGTAGGATGCAGACACAGGGAACAGACTGAGAGATGGAGTGGGAGGGGCAATTGGGCCTCATTGGGTGGTATGCAGGGACTCTCCCTGGCTCTGTGCTCGGCACGGAGTTCAGCAGTGCTCGTGGAATTATGTGCAGCACCGAAGGTGGCTTCCTGAGAGGCAAGTCCCTTCACCCCTGCTCTATGTCTCTGGTCCTATGATGCTTGCAGATTCTTAGTGAAAGGCCTTAAGATCCAGATCCCATCTGACTTGTCACAATGTGCTCGAGCGAGCCCAGTAACCTCTCCTTTGTGAGACTTGTTGTTACTGTGTTTGGCATACCAAATACGTCACGGGTAGCTTGCCAGGCTTTGCCGTGCGGGTGAGATACTCTCGGTAGCTTGTCAAGCTCTCTGAGAGGGGCAGAGGAATCGAACTCGGGTCAGCCAAGTAGGCTGTGTGCAAGGCAAACGCCCTACCTCTGTGCTATCACCAGCAGGAAAGGCAGCGGGAAGAAGGGAGGTAAGTGAGATAGGAGTGAGGCAGGAGAAGTAACCTGGATCCTAAAATTATTCTGTTGGGAGAGAGCTGAGCTCACAGGGAAGCCAGGGGCAGGGCACAATGCTAATCTGTGCAGATTCCATCCTCACAACACCCTCACAAGAAGGGCACCATCCTCAGCCCACCCTCCAGCAGCCGATTCAAGGTCACAGCTGGTAAGAGAACACATGGGAACATGAACGTGTGTGACGCCAGCAACGCTTATCGAGGGCCTGCGCCTCATCCAGACATTTGACCTGGCGTCTCCTAGTCTCTGCCACAAACTTGTGATTTGGAGGGGACTGAACCACGCCACTTGTCTGGTTCTGGCATGCTGACTTGGGAAGCTCCGGTCCTGTGTAACATGTACTGAAACTCTTCGACCTTCTTCTCAGACAACTGTCTCCGGACACGGGAGTCTGTTATTTGATTCGTTTACTTTTTGTTTTCTCAGCGGCACTCAGGGCTGTCTTCTGGCTCTGTGCTCAGAGATATTCCTACCTGGTGGCACTCGGGGGAACCATATGTAGTTAATGGGACCAAACAGGAGTCAATAACATGCAAGGCAAGCACCTGTACTATCTCCCTGGCTCAGTTTGTTATTTCAAAGCAACCAAGCCTATCCTGGGAATTTATCACAGAAGAAGTAACTTAACACCAAGAAATAGCTGTGTGGAAGGCGGGGTGGGAGGGCAGTAGGGGGAAAAGTATAAAAAATCCACAAAAGCTTCCAAACCCTAGAGAATGGTGAAGTCCCTTGGGACGCAGTCCAGTTGTAACAGCGGGGATGCATTTGAGAAATGCGCCACTGGGTTATTTTCTCCTTGTGTGAGCAGGACAGAGTGTAACAACATCTAGGTGGCACCACCTGTGACACACCTAGGTGGCATAGTCCAGGCTCTGAGATCTCCTTGTGTACGTGGCCCCTCGCTGGCTGAGAACACCCTAAGTGACAGGAGAGTGTGCTCCCAGGACTCCCGGATCGTACAGCAGAGCTGCGATGCCTAGGGAAACTGGCGACAGGGCTGGAGGGAGAGGACAGCGCTGGCCTGGCATGGCCAGGTCCTCTGACTCACTGTGCCCTTGCGTAAGCTCCTCTCCCTCCCTGAGCCTCAGCTGTAAAATGAGCCCACGAGAGGTTTCTACATCGGAGAGTTGTGGTGGGAATTTCATGCCATAGCACAGCCCCCAAAGGTCCAGTAAGCATAAGCCCTGGATCGAAGACGGCTTCTGCCTTCTCTGCGGAAGAAGTGCTTCTTTTCTGGCTCTGCAGCTGAGTGCTGGGCACCCCGAGGTCAGCCTAGGCAGTTCCTATCTCAGAGGACTCAAGTTCACACTGGGCAAAGAGATCAGGGGTGCTTAGATGGTGCGGGCATAGGAAGTTAGGGAAGTGGAGAAGAGGAACCTTGAGGTCGATCACTGGAAGGCTTCCTGGAAGAGGGGACACCTGAGCTGAGTCCTGGCAGCAGAAAGGAGACGAGAGAGGGGAGGGAGGCACTCCAGGCCAGAGCAGGTACAGGAGCACTGCCACGAGAGCAGCCCACATGCTCACAGAATAAAAGCACAGAAATGCACACAGGGGTCCTGAATCACCCATGGTGGTGGCCACAAATGCAGAGGACATGAAGAAAGACGTACCGAGGTGGGGAGGACAAAGAGAAGACACACAGAGAGAATGGAAACTGGCTTCCAGGGGACTCATTCAGAAACACACGCCGCCCCCCTCCCCCAACCTACACACGCGTCCCCACAGTGGGGTAGAGGCTCTGGGAGCTCTTCCGCTCCCAAGCAGCCCAGCCCGTTCTTCCTCCCTCTGCTCAGCTGACAGCCCTGAGCAGCCCTGGCAGGCTGCAGTGCCAGCAGTACTTTATGAATCCAATTTTCTCACCCTCCCGCCAGATCAGCGCCTCCCCTGGCAGGTGACAGATTGCGGGTGGGGGTGGGGAGGGAGGGATGGGGCTGGAAAGAGCCCAGTGGAAGGGCTGCAGGGCTGGGGGGCATCCGCCACACCTCTGTCTTTAAAGAGGAAAGGTTTGTCCTTGTGACGCCAAGGGCAGCGAGATTCTTGCCAACAGTGCGCATCCCGGGAGGGGAAGCGAGGACAGGCGCGGAGGAAGCAGTGGGTGCCCGGCTGTGCAGTGTGCAGGGATGCTGCCCCCCGAGGCTGGAGCACTGCCCTTCCTGTGTTCGTGAGGCCCAGCAGAGCTCCTCCCCTCTCTAGTTTACAGCTGCTGGGGGCGACGAGGGTGGGTGGGGAGACAGGGGGACAAACCTAATGGCCTCAATGCATGACCCCGTTCCCCATTTTCCGGGTCCGGGAGCTCAAAGGAGAATGAAGCCAAATCCCCGGCAACGGCGGGATGGAGGATTCTTGGTTGCTGACACTGGTGGCTATATTTACTTTCAGCCCCCGTTTCTATGTCTCTGATTTGCTGATTGTATCTGGCTGCAGGGAACAAATATGAAATCCGATAAGGCCCTGCTGCCACTGAGGCAAGGCCATCTGTCTCGGGCTGGATGTGCTGACAAGTAACTGGGACAAGAACATTCCAACGAGACGGCAGGCAATCTCAGCGTTGGAACAGAAATATATAGGGGAGGAAAGAGACGACAACGCACATGTTCACAGGAACTAAACGTAAGTGCTTCTGAGCTGGGTAGAGCTTCAGGGACCCCAAGACCACAGCCAGCCATGTGCCAGAGATGTGCTCATGTTCTACCATGAGAACCACACGCCCCACTCCAGGGCTGCTCTTATCACATCCTGCCTCAGATAGAATCTCGTGTGCTTTGAGAAATGCAGGAAGAAGTAAATGTGGCCAGTCTGACAAGGGGGCTGGCTCTTGTGACTTCTCCGCACACAGATAACTGGCTCCATGCTGCTGCTGTGGCAGAATGGGGAGTATTCTGGTGATGTCTGAGGTCAGACCAAAATGAAAAATGGCACTCTTTTGGACAAGAGAAACAAGAGAAATGGTCCCCTCCTTCACTGCTGGTGGGAATGCTGACTGATTCAGCCCTTTTGGAAAACAGTATGGACGATTCTCAAAAAATTAGAAATTGAGCTCCCATTTGACCCAGCAATACCACTCCTGGGAATATATTCTGGAGAGGCAAAAAAGTACAGTCAAAATGACATTTGCACGTCTATGTTCATTGCTGCATTATTCACAACAGCCAAAATCTGGAAAAAAACCCGAGTACCCAAGAACAGATGACTGGTTAAAGAAACTTTGGTACATCTACACAATGAAGCACTATGTAGTTGTTAGAAAAGATGAAGTCATGAAATTTACATACAAGTGGTACTACATGGAAAGTATCATGCTAAGCGAAATGAGTCAGAAAGAGAGGGACAGACATAGAAAGACTGCATTCATCTGGGGAATATAAAGTAACAAAATAGGAGACTAACACCCAAGAATAGCCGAGATAAGTACCAGGAGGTTCACTCCATGGCTTAGAGGCCAGCTCCACATGCTAGGGGAAAAGGCAGTTCAGATAGAGAAGGAAGCACCAATAAAGGGTGTTGGGAGGGTCCTCCCAGGATGGGAAATGCATGCTGAAAATAGACTATAGACTGAACATGATTGACACTCAATGCCTCTTTTGCAAACCACAGCACCCAAAAGGAGAGAGAGAACAAAAGGGAATGGCCTGTCACAGAGGCAAGGTGGGATGGGAGGGATGAGGGGTGGGAGGGATACTGGGATCAGTGGTGGTGGAAAATGGGCACTGGTGGAGGGATGGGTACTTGATCACAGTATAACTGAAACCCAAGCACAAAAATTTGTAGCTCTACAACTGTACCTCATGGTGTTTCATTAATAAAAAAAGAAAGAAAGAAAAAAAAAAAAAGAAACAGTCCCTTTCTCTTTCTGGGTTGAATCGATTTTAGAGGCTCCAAAGACTTCAAAACCCACTAAAGTTTAAGGCACAAAGAGTCTTGGCATTTTTTTTTGGCTTTTTGGGTCACACCTGGCGATGCCCAGGGGTTACTCCTAGCTCTGCACTCAGGAATCACTCCTGGCAGTGCTCGGGGGACGATATAGGATGCCGAGAATTGAAACCGGGTCGGCCTGCGTGCAAGCCAAACACCCTCCCTGTTGTATTATTGATCTGGCCCTCGAATGTTGGCATTCTTGACTGCATAAAAAGTTTGCCCAACTTAGCCTGTCTAGGTTGTACTCATCTGTCATAGCCCACTGCAAGGAAAGCCTCTCTAGAAAGCTGGAGAACCACTGACAGAATTAATTAGTCACCTGCTGTAGTTCTCCTTGTGTTCCTTCCTTCTAAGAGTGGTGTTTAACACATCGCATAAAAATTCTGCAAGCAGATTTTTCTCTCTTCCCTTGAATTTCAGAGTCCTTGGCTGGAAGTGATGGCTTGATAATAAAAATAACCCAATTGGCATCACGGTTGTGTGTGCTCAGCTGTACAAGAGACTTGGGATCAAATCCCGACCAACACGAACCAGCAGAGCATCCCTGTGGAGAGTTCATTAGCGTTTCTGAGCCCCATGTTTATGTCTGTAAAAAGGAGTAAACATTTGGCCAACAGACATTAAGACATGTGCCTTGCCTGTAGCTGCGGCCACCCTGAGGGGAAAAAAATTACTCAGCACCCCCACCAAAACATTTGACTCATAAGAAGATTGGTAGGTCAATTATACCTCCATCAAGCTATTAGTAGCACTGCAGCACTGTGGCAATGCCCTCCTGTTGTTCATCGATTTGCTCGAGTGGGTACCAGTAACGTCTCCATTGTGAGACTTGTTACTGTTTTTGGCATATGGAATACGCCATAGGGAGTTTGCCAGGCTCTGCTGTGCAGGCAGGATACTCTCGGTAGCTTGCCGGGCTCTCCAAGAGGGACAGAAGAATCCAACCCGGGTCAGCCTCATGCCCTACCCACTGTGCTATTGCTCCACCCCTGCTATCGCTCTGCCCCCAAGCTATTAGTAAAAGAAGTACAAAAGGAATACAACCCTAACCCTAAAAGGTTGACTTGGGATTTACAGGGTATGCAGACATATACTTAGTGTTTCCAAGGTGGCTGATACTTTCTCCCAGCGGGCCAGGAAGTGTGCTGGAAGTTGGAGGAGAGGTAGTAACCTACAGTTCAATGGGGTTTATTTTCTGTGCGGTCACTTAAAGAAGTTAGATTTGGGGCTGGAGTGATAGCACAGCGGGTAGGGCTTTTGCCTTGCACGGGGCTGACCCAGGTTCAATTCCCAGCATCCCATATGGTCCCCCGAGCACCACCACTGAGTGCAGAGCCAGGAGTAACCCCTGTGCATTGCTGGGTGTGACCCAAAAAGAAAAAAAAAGAAGTTAGATTCCCGGTGGGGTCGCAGAATAATTTTTTTTTCTGGTGTGGCAGAAAAAAAAGATGTGGCAGGCGACATAAGTGTGGGAACATGTGGCTATCTCTACAGCCCACAATCTCCTCATGCCATTGTCTCAATACTCCCCAGCCCCACTGACTCTGGCACACAGTGTGGCTGAATAAACATTCACTAAACAACAGATGAGAGAGACTTGGAGTGTCTGAGAGTCCCGACTAGATGCGTTCACTGAGTAATTATAGCTCAAAAAAAAATTAATAGAAACCTCTTGAGGATTAAATAATATCTCCAGTTTTGGAGCCCATGAGATGAATAACATTACACAAAGGCATGTCATGCATTATTAAGCTCCCTACTTAGTAATTCACAGCATCACTTTTGTTCTGCTGCTTGTTAAAGATGATGATCTTGCTGAGAAAATAAAACCGAGTCTCATTAATAGAAGTGAGAAGTTTTCTATTTTGTGACACCTAAGGGCAGCAAAGCAAAAGAAGAAAGACTACACGTCTATGGACCACTACATGGCCCTCAACCCCCACCACACAGCCCACCCTCCACCCCCAGGATGGATACTGTTGCCCCCGTGTAGAAAACAAATCCCAGAAAGAATGTCTCTCTTTTCTACAACTAAGTTCAGATTGTAGCACTTTTAGAGTGAGAAAAGGCTATTGGAGAGTATGTAGTTCAATGGGTTTCACTTATTCTTGTTTTGTTCTGTCTTTGGGCCACGCCTGGTGGTGCTCAGGGCTTACTCCTGGCAGGCTGGGGAACCATATGGGCACGCTGGGGATTAAACCCGGATCAACTGTGTGCAAGGCAAGTGCCCTCCCTGCTGTCCTATCTCTTTGGGCCCTCCATTATTTTTATGAATTGGAAACATTTTGCCACATCATTCCTGGCATTGCTAGGAACCACTCCGAGCACAATGATGGGGAGTGCCCTCAGTAATGCTTGGGGATACTCTAGTATGAGGGATCCAATCTATGCCTCTTGCATGCAAAGTAAGTGCTCCAGTGGCCAGAGACAGTATAGTACATAAGGCACTTCTGGAACTCACACACAGCCAACTGGGGTTAAATCCCCGGCTTAATCCCCAACACCACATAGGGTTCCCCCCCCCCCCCCCCCCCGCCACAAACACTGCCAGTGTTAATCCGAGTACAGAGCCAGGAGAAAGCCCTGAGCACAGTCAGGCATGGCCCAAAAGAGACACAAGAAAAGCACACACTCCCTCCTACCCTTTGAGCTTCTCTATGGTCCCTTACAAATTTTATTTTATTTTTTTGCTTTTTTGGGTCACACCTGATGATGCACAGGGGTTACTCCTGTCTTTGCACTCAGGAATTACTCCTGGCGGTGCTCAGGGGACCATATGGGATGCTGGGAATTGAATCCAGGTCGACCGCATGCAAGGCAAATGCCCTACCCGCTGTGCGATCACTCCAGAACCCCTTATGAATTTTTGATGAGAAATCCCAGCATACTAGTAAAACGGAGGCAGTGCTAAATCAAACCTAGGGGGATAATTAGTCCTCCCCATGAGTTGTCCCTGGGCCCTCAAAAACAGTCCCCATGAGCCCCTGCAGAACCTCAGGTGCCAAGACTTCTCAGCAGGGGGAAGCCAGCTCCCTGACAAGTGAGTCTCCTGAGATGACATGGACCAAAAGGTCACAGCAGGAGCTGCTGACACTGGCTGGTTCCTGCAGCTTCCAGGGTGACTTCTGCTGCACAGTGCACGGTGGGGGCAGGAGGGTGGGTGCCAACAGTCCTGAGAGGCATTTCTGCCAACCAGCGGCTGAGCACTTCTAAGGAGGGCTACTGCTGGGGGGCTCTGTGCAGGAGCCCAGCTCACACCTGTTGGCCGCCCACTCCCCAGCGAAGCCTTACCTGTGGCTGGAAGACGTGGTTCTCCTTCCCCAAGTGGTCCACGATCCCGAAGATGCACAGGGGCCCGGCGAAGCCCAGCAGGTCGGCCAGGATGCGGAAAGTGCTGCTGAGGACCAGGCGTCTCCCAAAGGCATGGCACAGCGCCCGCCAGATGGCCCGGGCACCCTGCAGGCTCTGCGAGTCCTTCCGCTGCCCAGAGAGACCCACGGCCAGGTGAGGGAGGCTGAGGGTGCCTTTCCCGGGCCACTGCCTTCTTGCCGCCCCCCCCCCCCCCAAAGGAAACCCCCTGCTCCCTTGAGAAACCCGGGGACCACATCTGCTGCAAACAACTGGACTCAGGGAGAAAAGACATGGAAATACCCAGGACACACTTGGGGGCCTTATCACTGCTGCTGGGGGTTACCTGGGGGAAACTGAGGCCAGGTGATAAGTTAAGGCCCCAGAAGCAGTCAGAGGAGGAAAGCACTTTAAGGAGGTGGTCAGTGCATGGTCACCTGCCCCTGCAGCTGTCTCCTTCCCTGCTCTCTGGATGTCAAAGCAGAGGCAGCACAGGGCACTGGGCAAGGAGGCGGGAGACCATCTGTGCTACCCCTCAGCTCAAGGCCAGCCTTGGGCTGCTCACAGTCATTCTCTGGGCCTCAACTTCCTCTGGGTGCAATGGGGGCACCCTTGCCTCAGTTATCTTGACTCCGGGGACTAAAGTCCCTGTTTTTTTTTTTTTTCTTTTTGGGTCACGCCCGGCAATGCACAGGGATGTGAATTCCTGGCTCTGCACTCAGGAATTACTCCTGGTGGTGCTCATATGGGATGCTGGGAATCAAACCTGGGTCGACCACGTGCAAGGCAAATACCCTGCCTGCTGTGCTATTGCTCTGGCCCCACTAAAGGCTCTATTTGAAAGTGAACAAATAGCCTCTCCTTGGTACTCCTCAAGCTCCAAAAGGGTGCAGCAAAGGTACAGGGGGCACCCAGGGGTATCGCTGACCCTCTCTGGGCCTCAGTTTCCCCATCTGGACTGAGTTAGATCAGATGGCCTAAAGTCCAGGGACCAGTCCAGCTGTGACTGTGTCACAGATCTTCAGTCCTGGGCTTGTGCCTGCTAGGCTGTGGGGTTTGGGGCACACTTCCCCACCTACAAGGCTCATGTCCTAACTTGCCCCACTAGGAGTCAGTCCCCGGAGGCCCTCAGAGACTCGCGCTGGTGACCACGCTGACCTCCTGAGCATCGAAGGCCTCGCAGAGCCGCCGGTAGTTGGTGAGGGCCCGCATGGCGATGGGCAGCTTCCCGATGGCGCGGAGGTCGATGGGCTTCCGGTGCGCCGTCTTGATGAAAGCGTTCATCCACCAGTAGGTGCCTTTAGACAGCAGGTTCACAAAGGGCTGCAGGAAGCGCACCCCCAGGTCCTGCAGGTCTTCAGGGGGCTTCACCTCCCTCGGGTTCTTGAAGAAGATGTATCTCTGCGGGACCACCAGGAGGGATGAGTACCATGGCAGCATGGCCCTGTGACCCCACCCTTGTCCTCTAACAGCTGGGGGGTGAGGGTGGGGGGCTCCTCTGGCCTAATCCCTAGACAAAGTCCTTTGCTCACCCCTTGGCCATCCATCCCAGGACTTGGGACTTTTCCTTAACAATTTTGTTGTTGTTGTTGCTTGTGTGGGCAACGCCTGGCTGTGCTTAGGGCTACTCCCGGCTCTGTGCTCAGGGATCACTCCTGGTGGGGCTCAGGGTTGGTGATGATAGGGATGGAACCCTGGATGGGCTGTGGGCAGGCAAGTGCCCTAACCACTATACTATCTCTCCAGACCCTGGAGTCTTTTCTTTTCTTTTCTTTTTAAATTTTTTTCTTTTAATTTTAATGAATCACCGTGAGATACAGTTACAGAGTTACAAAGGTTCGTCATCACATTTCAGTCATATAATGATCAAGTACCCATCCCTCCACCAGTGCCCATTCTCCACCACCAGTGTTCCCAGTATCCCTTCTGCCACCCCAACTATCCCCCACCCCACCCCCGCCTCTGTGGCAGGCACATTTCTTTTTACTCTCTCTCTCTCTCTCTCTCTCCTTTTGGGTGTTATGGTTTGCAATACGGGTACTAACTGGCCATTATGTTCATTATAGTCTACTTTCAGCACACATCTCTCATTCCAAGCGGACCCGCCAAACATCATTTACTTGGTGGTTTCTTCTCTATCTCAGCTGCTGTTTCCCCCAGCATGTGAGACCGGCTCCTGAAGTCTTTTCTTTTCTTTCTTTTTTTTTCCTTTTTGGGTCACACCCAACAATGCACGGGGGTTACTCCTGGCTCTGCACTCAGGAATTGCTCCTGGCAGTGCTCAGGGGAACATACGGGATGCTGGGAATCAAACCCGACGGGTCGGGTGTGCGCAAGGCCCTACCTGCTATGCTATAGCTCCAGCCCCTGAAGTCTTTTCTTGAGGTCTCCTCTGACTCCCTGGGCCAGGGCAGAGCAGAATCTCCACCTGAGACTGGTCTCTCTGCAGCTCCCAGCTGGGTCAGAAGGGCACAGAGCCAGGCAGGCCTGAATTTCAGTGCTGCCTCTCCCACAGACTGGCATGGTGGCCATGCATGGGGCTCCCTGCCAGTGTGCTCCTAACAGGAGGTGGGGCATATGGCACAGGACTGTGTGCGGATGAGTTCAGGTAGGAGCGTAGGGGGTGTAGGAGCGTAGGAGCAGCTCTGTGCCCTGCATCTGTAAACCCCCATGCATCAAACCTAAGGAAAGGCAGAGAAGTCAGGGAAATGACAATGAAAGCCCAGACTGCACACGCATTGGGGCTGCCCAAATTAGAAATAGTGTGTGTGTGGGGTCCCTTCATGCGTGAGGCTCATCCGAACTAACCAGCAGAGGAACCCAGGCATGTGGGACCCGATGCTGAGATCTCCAAGCCTGTTTGGATCGGGACTGGGCCTCCTCCACCCAGATCCCCCATCTTCCAGTAGGTAGGTGTTATACACACCAACTGCCCCCAGCGCCATGTTATCTCATCAACGGCCAAGACCCAGAGACTATAAAACCCAGCTCCCTGAAGCTCGAATTCAAAGCCACACAACCTCTTACTATCTAGTTCTTACTCTTGGAGAACCCACCAGGCTACCAAGAGTATCTTGCCCACATGGCAGAGTCTGGCAAACTCCCCATGGCGTATTCAATATGCCAAAACCCAGTAACAATGATGGGTCTCATTCACCTGACCATGAAAGAGCCTCGAATGTGGCACTTTCTAAAATCTCAGGGCTAGGACGAAGGAGATATTACTGGTGCCTGCTCCAGGAAATCGATGAACAACAGGATGACAGTGATACAGTGATACAGTATGTGCGGGGGGGGGGGGGGGGAAGTTTCCTACTCACTGCCCAAGATCACAGTCTGGATGGAGAGTGACAAGCTCCATCTCCCCTCATGTAAAATATACCACCCCTCCACCCAGCAACTCTCCACCTTCGAGTCTCGAAGAAATGAGAAGGAGCAATACATAGAGAAAGGATGTGGATACACCATTCGTCGTGAAGGCAAAAACTTGGTAATAAAAACCCTGAATGTCCATCATGAGGGTCAGGGAAGAATAAACACAGCTGCGTGTAAATATTTTGTGGCCATTAGGAAAACTCAATTAGTTTAGTCACACAAGAGGGCAGCCCAGGAGAGAAGCAAGCCACAGGAAACTGTGTATAATATGATTTCATTTTTAGAAAATGAAAATTGAATAGGAATGCTTCTAAACTTTGCATTTTGTTTATCCTTTGCATGTTTACACAGCAGGTAGGGTACTTGCCTTGCAGCCACCCAGCTGACCCTAGTTCCATCACTGGCACTATATATGGTCCCCTGAGCACTGCTAAAAGAGACCCCTGAACAAAGAGCCAGGAGTAGCCCCTTGAACTACAGATGAGTTGAGGTAGGAGCACAGACAGCTCTGTACTGTGCAAATCACTAAGTAAACCCCTTAAGGAACCTTGAATACATACAAATGTGTGCTATCATACTGATAAAAATCTGGATTCCCCAAGGAAGGAGAGAGATGTGTATACAGAACTCAGGGAAGGGAGCAAGCTAAAAAGGCAAGAGATTAAGACAAAAGGCATGCAGGCGGGGCTGGAGTGATAGCACAGCAGGTAGGGCGTTTGCCTTGCACACGGCAGACCTGGGTTCGATTCCCAGAATCCCATATGGTCCCCTGAGCACCGCCAGGAGTAATTCCTGAGTGCAGAGCCAGGAATAACCTCTATGCATCACCCCCCACCCCCCAAAAAAAAGACATGCAGGCCTTTTCATTGAAGCAGGTGTTCAAGTGACCAATATGTTCAAACAAGTACAACCTTCCATCATCTGGAACTCACAAGCACGCATCTGCAGGATGAAGACTGGAGTCCTTCACCCAGAGTCCTTCATCCTGTCACCTCCTCTCCCCCCCCCCCCCCCCCCCCCCCCCCCCGGACCCAGAGGGCAGCTGGGTCTGAGGGACTTCTCCTGAAACACCTCCCATGGCCTCAGTTTCCCTTTGGGGCACGATTAGGAAGCAGGGCAGGAAGCTGCCTCAGGTCTGCCCTGCGGGGTGCTTACCCGCACCCTGATGACATTGAGCTCCACCAGAAGCAGCATCCCGTAGAGGAGCACCAGCAGCCCCGTGAGGCAGAAGCGCAGCTGGGAGAAGCCGATGGCATGGTCGTAGAACTTGACAAACTTGATGGTCTTGGTGATGAAGGCCAGAGTCCAGTAGACAAGCAGGGCTGCAGAGGAGAGAGAATGGAGTGCATGTATGCGTGTGTGTGTGTGTGTGTGTGTGTGTGTGTGTGTGTGTGCTCGTGCGCGTGTGTGCTCATGCTTGGGCCAGGGTGTGGGAGGGCAGGGAGGGGTGGGGATGGGCATGGGACGGGTATGCCCACAGGAGGGTGCCTTTTGAACTGACGCATGCACATGCAAACATGTTGAAAACACGAATGATCAGGGGCTGGGATGACCGTACAGCAAATAGGGTGTTTGCCTTGAACGCAGCAGACCCAGGTTTGAATCCCAACATCCCATTGGTCCTCCGAGTCCACCAGAAGTGATGCCAGGAGTGATCCCTCAGCACGGAGCCTCCAGAAATAATCCCTGGGCATTGCCAGGTGTGGCCCCCAAACACCAATAAAACGAAGGGAAATAACGGGGAAACAGGGGTCAGGGTCCTGGGTGTATGGTCAACGTGAGGAGTGGTATAGCTATATAGACTCAGCAACACTGAAGACAACACGAGATCCAAACTACAACCACCAAACTTTAAAATGTGCCTGTCAAGGTGGCAGGCTGGGGGGTGGGCTGTTGGGAGGGAACTAGGGAACAATGTGGAGGCAAGTTGACACTGGTGATGGGATCGGTACTAGAACACTATGTGTCTAAAACACAACTATCAATAACGTTGTAAATCACGGTTCTTAAATAAAATTTAAAAATTTAAATCAAGAGGATTTAACATATTCCAGACTGTGGCCAGTAAGTCCTTTAGGGATCATCTCACTTACTCTTTACATAACCTTATGATCACTTACCCCTTACATAATTTGATGAGGGAAGTGGCATAGTTGCCCCAAGTTACCTGACCAGAGAGGTTGAGTAACTGATCTGAGGTCACACAGCAGGTTCTGTCACACAGTGATAACCACACCCTTTCTATTGACTTCCTTTTGGGATTCTCAAGCTGAGATTTTTTTTTAATTTTTATGGTTTGGGGGCCACACCTGGTGATGCTCAAGGGTTACTCTTGGCTCTGCACTCAGAAATCGCTCCTGGCAGTGCTCGGTGAAGGCGGGGGGTCCATATGAGGTGCCAGGGATTGAACCCAGGTCGGCTGCATGCCAGGTAAGTGCCCTTCCCACGGTACTATTACTCCAACCCAAGCAGAAGATCACCTTTAATCCAACTCATTCTTTTGACTGACAAAGAAATTGAGGTCCAGAGAGGGGAGGGTGACCTCCCCAAGCTCCCTATAAACTAGTGCTCAATCGAGGGTCAGTGTTTAGGCCCCTGCCCACAGCTTCCCTCCATCCCCCCAAACAAAACAAAACACCTAGTCCAGTGCCCATTTCAGCCTGATGATGCCCTTCAGGGAGCAGGGATTGGCTTACAAAACTGGGGTCCCAGTCCGGAGAGGCAGTAAGCAAAATGGTCAGGAATGCCTGGGGTCGCAGCTTGGACTTAATAGCTTAAGACACGGCCTTGAGTAGCTGATTTCATCCACCTCAGTATGGTCAACGTGAGGAGTGGTATAGCTATATAGACTCAGCAACACTGAAGACAACACGAGATCCAAACTACAACCACCAAACTTTAAAGATGCAGTGAGTACTTCCTCGAAGGCTATGTGAGCATGGTGGAGGGAGCTCAGCACAGTGAGAATGCAGTGAACGCTCACTGGATATAAGTTGATATTTCTATCTCCTAAAAAAAATGGCATTTGGGGGGCAGGCAACCTCTGGGGAGCTGCTCTAGGTTCTGCGCTCTGGGGTCTGTCCTGGAGGACCATGCAGTACTGGGGTTCGAAGTCAGGCGGCTGAGTTATTTCTCCAGCCCTGTTAATATTTTCATTATCTTCCGGTTTCCAACTGGGGCCCATACATATGCGTGGATTCTCTCCTCTAGTCCCCTAACCACCACTCCTGCCATAACATCTGTTGGCTGCTACAGACCACCCCCTCACAAAGCCTGGGCCAGACGCAGATAAAGGCAGCTGAAATTCCCTGGCACCCCTTTATGCTTTTCTGCTACCAACTCACAGGACTAGGTGAAAGTTCGTTCAATTAGACAGGTCTCAGATCTCCAGGTCGCCAGAAAGGAGGCCAATCACTTGCCTCCAATACCTACATCCCCCATCCCCACACACCCCAGCATCAGAACCTGTTCAGTCCTTCACGAGGGGGGCCAAGACTTGCAAACATGCTTCATGCTGGTCTTGCCTCTAATACTTAATAGACACAGTCTGATGTGATGGTTGTAACAACCCTCTGACTTAGGCAAGGACCGACTATTCCTGTCCAGATGTGGAAACTGAGGGAGGGTCAGGGAGTCTAAGCTCATGCCCGAGATTGCACAGGGAGTCGGCAATAAGAAATAAACCCAAGGATTGTCTCCAGTCACAGTCTCCAGTGCGAATCTTCAGCCTGTACACACACACACACACACACACAACAGAAGCAGCAGCAGAAGCAAGAGCTTAGTGCTCAACTGAGAGGGGAGGAAAAGGCCAGAAACTCAGCACAGGATCTGGTGGGCATCTGCACTGGCATGACCCTGGCCATCTCCCTCCCCTTCCCCATTTCCCACCTCTGACCTGGTTTACCTGCTGACCATCTTGATTCCATTCCCTTCTCCCCCTCTCTGTGGCAGCCTGGCTCCAAGCCCCCAGCTGTTCTCCCCTAGACTACCTGGATCCTCCTCACGTTTCCCTCCATCCCCTCTTGCCCACTGTTAAGCTAGTCTTTTTAAATTTTTTAAAAAAATTTATAATAGCACAGTGGGTAGGGCGTTCGCCTTACAAGCGGCCAACATGGCCGACCCGAGTTCGATTCCTCCGCCCCTCTCGGAGAGCCCGGCAAGCTACCGAGAGTATTCGATATGCCAGACACAGTAACAACAAAGTCTCCAATGGAGACGTTACTGGGCCCGCTCGAGCAAATCGACGATCAACGGGAGGGCCTTTACCTTTACCTTTATAACTTAGTTCACAATATTTTATTACATTTAATATTCAAACACCAATCCCACCACCATTATACCTCCCCACCACCAAATTTGGGATGTTTCCATCCCAAGCCCCAATCCCTGTCCCCAAAACAAAACCAAAATAATATATTTTGTATTGTCTGTTATAAAGAACTGCTTGAAGCTGCCTACAAAAAAAGTGTTCATATAGGAGACAGTGTGAAGATTGTTCTATTTTGTCAGGAGCCATTATGACATTCTATAGGATACCACTAATATATTGTTAAAGTTTGGGTGATGTGAGCTTTGATATATATGTTTGAAAATATGCATATATGCACATGTATGTGTATATATATATATTTCCCTCTATGATTTGTTGCCTACTGCCTGAACCCCATCAAATATGGTGTGGTAATTATGGAAAATGGATAGGGAGTGTCTTATGATGTGTCTCGGTCCTGGAATAAGTTCACTCATATGTGGGGCGTGGCCTGAGCGTGTGAGGAGTGGCCTTGAGCATGGTGGTGGTTGCATTGTGGAGGTTTTCGGCTGCCAGGGCTGGCTCCCTTGGGACAGGGAGGGCTCTCATGTCAAGCTAGTCTTTAGAAAGCAATGGAGACAGCCAAAGATGGTCTCCGTGCACCCCGGCTCACAGCAGCTGATTCATAACTAAAGGGTGGAAGCTCTCCATGCATCCACCAATAGATGATAGATAACCACATGGGGTTCATAGAGGCCACCTGTAAAAAATGAGTCTGAGCTGTGAGGTTCCATTTATACATGGATTTGGTATTCAAGAAATACATTGGCTCTCCACAATCTTGTCTTCACCATTCACAGGTTCATCCCACCATGGCCAGTTGCCTGAATCTGTGGATGTGGAACTGGAGAGAGAGTGTGGGAGGGTATGGAATAGGAGGGACAAGGGCTCCCTTGGCCTGGGGCAGGACCTGAAGTCAGTCCTCTGTGGAGACCAACGAATGATTTTGGTTCATTACGGACAAAGACAACAGTTATGTAAAATATACAGAATGCAAGGGTGCCTTAAACCTACTGTTAATGCAAAGGTCACTGTGCAGACAATAAAACATTATGCAACTCTTAAAAAAGGAAGAATATTTTGGCATTGGTAGGAGCATTCTACAACATGAGTGAACCTTAATATATCATGTGACAATAAATGAGCCAGTCAGCCAGTCACAAATAGACAAACATATCTGAGATAGCTGAGTGTGGGCTGATTCGTAGATCTATTTTTTTTTTTGGTGGATCACACCCAGTGATGCTCAGGGGTTGCTCCTGGCTCTGCGCTCAGGAATTACTCCTGGTAGTGCTTGGGGGACCATATGGGATGCCGGGGATCGAACCCGGGTCAGCCGTGTGCAAGGCAAACGCCCTATCCACTGTGCTATTGCTCCGGCCCCTGATAGAAATGGTATTTTGAGGGGGCTTAGAGGCAAGGAGAAAAGAGGAAGTTGTTGAAGAATGAGTTCAGGGTTCCGATTTGGGAAGAGAAAAGATTTTGCAGTTGGGTGGAGATGGCCCATCAGCGTGAACATACTCAATGCCACCGAACTGTGTAATTAAAAGTAGTTAAACTGGGTTGGGGGGAGGTCTGGGGAGATAGTGAAAGGGAAGGAACAAATCCTTTGTATGTGGGGGTCCTGGGTTTGACCCTCAACACCACATAGCTCCCTGAGCACCAAACTGGAAACAACCCCCATACATCAAGCCTGAATTAACCCCGAGCATGATTGGGTATCACCCTTCCAAAAAAATATTGTTTCATTGGCTTTTGGTTTGTTTGATTTTTGAGTCACCTCCAGTGGTACTCAGAACCTACACCTGGATCTGTGCTCAGGGATCATAGTTGGTGGTGGTCAGGGAGGCATATATGGTGCCAGGGATTGACCCTGGGTCAGTTTTGTGCAAGGCAAGCACCTTACCCTGTTCCATCTTTCTGGGACCTGGCATGGCTACATTATATATGTCACTATGCACACACATGCATACATTCTCAACACCCTTGGCCTCAGGTGAGGTCCTGGAGGGCCCTGCCTGGTGCAGGCCCCACCTGCCCCTGCAGCCTTCATGTTCTACTCCCTCTGCTGGTTTTTTCCTCGTGTGTTTTGCTTCCCTTTACTCTGGGACTCTGCCTCTGTTCCTTCCGAGGCCAGCATCCCCCTGTCCTTTCTTAGTTCCCAACTAAGTCCTCCGGTCTTGGCTCTAACATGGCTCTCATATGCTTCCACCCATGTCGGTGGTTTGCTCTGGACCGTGGGTTCTCTTGCTAGGCTCTGGACTGTGACCACACTGGTAGCCTCCTCCGAGGGTGAGCTGCTCCCCACCTGTTCCCCGCCTCCCACTGTCTTCCTGTCCTCCATTCATCCATCCCCGTGCCTTCTTGGGTGCGTCCTCCCCTTTCTCCCCTGCTCCACCACTGCCAATCCCGCCAGAGGCTCAACCCTCAGCACAGAGAAAGGCGGGAGTTAGTCCCTGCTCGTGGGGGAAGGACCAGTCCCTCCATGAGTGGTAATTTGTGTGGAAGCCGAGAACACTGTGTGCTTTCTGGAGAATGAGAGACATTCGCCAGATGCCTGCGAGAGGGCTGCGGGGACACCCCCACCGGGCCAGGGTTAATGCGGGGGCTCTCTGCGCGCCAGCAGCAGCCAGCAGACGCTTGAGTGGGAAGCTCTCTGGGGTCTAGACTTAGTACTTCCTGCTCTCAAGCTGCTGCTCTCCAAGTCCCCCAACCACACTCACATGGGCCCAGCCCTGCAGGGTGTGGGGGAGTCACCCCAAGGATGCTGGTGGGGCCTGCTCCCACCTTACACTAGGAGGGCAGAGCCACGGCTCCACACCCACCCGACACCACCACAGGGTCTGGCGCTGCATAGAATGTTCCACTAGATAGGGCGACAGCTAGACATCAGGCCCACTTGATGACACACAGCCCGGACCCAGCCTGACAGGCAGATGGACAGCCCAGGCTTTGGACCCGCAGACCCAGCCCAACCCAGTGGCGGGCCTGGAGGTGGAGGGCTCTGCCAAGACACCCAGCTCCTAAGACTTCATTTCTGGCTCTGCCCCATGCTGAACTGAGCTGACTCCTACCAGGCTCTGAACCTCTTTGAAGTCTCAGTTTCCCCATCTGTAAAGAAGGATACTAGTGGCACTGCATAGCACTGCTGAAAGGACTGAGTTAATGCCTCAAACACACAGAGAGCCGTGCCTGTCACACAGTAGGTGCTGAATGAGTGTCTGTCGCACAGTAGGTGCTGTCATTATTTCTAACCTGTGCTTCAGCGCCCACACCTGAGACAAGTCAGCAGGGCCCCTAGGGAGAGTGAGTGAGACCTGGCCTACGTGAAGCTGAGAGTCCAGCCTGCACATAGCGCCTCCTCCAGGGAAGCCCACAGCCAGCACCACTAGCTTCTAATGACTTTGTTGTTGTTGTTGTTGTTGAACCACACCTGGCGGAGCTCAGGGCTTACTCCTGGCTCTGTGCTCGGAAATCACTCCTGGCAAGGTAGCTGGGATGGAGAGAGGAGCACTAAATAAATGATGATTGGAAGGATCGCTCCATGTTGAAAGTAGACTATGGGCCAAACATGATGGCTGCTTTTTCACCTGTATTGCAAACCATAACATCCAATAGGACAAAGAGAGTAAGAAGAATTGTGCCTGCCACAGAGGCAGGAGGTGGGAAGGGATGGGGGTGGGGGGATACTGGGAACATTGGGGTTGGGGAATGGGCACTGGTGGAGGGGTGGGTACTTGAACATTGTTTTACTGAAACACAATCATGAAAGTCTCTAAGTCTGTAAATGTATCTCACGATGATTCATTAAAATACAAAATTTAAGGGGGCTGGATCAATAGTAGAGCAGTAGGGCGTTTGCCTTGCCCGCAGCCGACCCGGGTTTGATTCCCAGCATCCCATATGGTCCCCCGAGCACTGCCAGGAATAATTCCTGAGTGTATGAACCAGTAACTCCTGTGCATCGCCGGGTGTAGCCCCCCCCCCCCCAAAAAAAGGAAATCACTCCTGGCAGTGCTCAGGGGGCCATATGAGATGCAGGGGATCAAACCTGGGTCTGCCTCATGCAAGGCCTTCCGCACTGTTGGACAGCCTTTCCTGCGGTCCTATCTCTCCAGCTTCCAGCACCAGTGGTTTCTGCCTGTGTCCCAGAGTCCTGCTCCTCCAGAGCCACACCCTGTTGGCAAATCACAGCTTGTGCTACAGGACCCTTGCTCTGCTCACACCCGCCCTTGTGCTTCCCGTGCCTACGAGCCTTTGCTGTGTTCCTCCAGGCCTGACTCACCCTCCAAGTGCTCACCTGACACTTCAAACTGAGTTTCTCAGGGCTGGAGTGATAGCACAGTGGGTAGGGCGTTTACCTTGCAAGCACGGCCGACCTGGGTTCTATCCCCGGCCTCCCATATGGTCTCCTGAGCACCACCAGGGGTAATTCCTGAGTGCAGAGCCTAGCAAGAGAACCCACGGTCCAGAGCAAACCACCGACATGGGTGGAAGCATATGAGAGCCATGTTAGAGCCAAGGCCGGAGGACTTAGTTGGGAACTAAGAAAGGACAGGGGGATGCTGGCCTCGGAAGGAACAGAGGCAGAGTCCCAGAGTAAAGTCCCTGTGCATCACTGGGTGTGACCCAAAAAGAAAAAAAAAACTGACCCATCCTCCCTCCTTTGCCCCCTGACTATGTTGGCAGGGAACATCCCCCTCTCCTTCTGCCACGTGCTCATGTCAGACGCCTGGACACTGCTCACGGCTTTCTCACCCCCTGACCTGCTCTCTGGCTTTTGCTCCCCTCACTCAGCTGCTGTGACCCACACTGGCCCCTCTGCTCCTCTCAGTGGTGTTTCCCCCACCCCACCCGCCATACTAGCAGAGAGCTTGCCTGCCACACCCTGCAGCCTGAGGCCAGCCCTCACCCCCTTCCCCAGTCTGCCCTCCTCAGAGCTCCATTCCTTCCTGCTTGTCTGCTCCCCTGTCCCCTGTCTGCGCCTGGCTGTCTCTCTCCTCCAGGCTGTGAAATTTCACTCGAGTTGGGGGCTTTGCTTCTGCACTTTCCAACCTCTGGTGCACAGGGATCGAATCTGACACCAGCGAATCCACAGCACATGCTGGTGGGGGGCTGGAGGGGGCAGTGGAGATGAATGCAGGGGGGCCCATCCCTTGCCCTCCCCACCCTTCCCCTACCGATCAGCAGCTTGGGGAAGTTGGAGGTCTCGATGTTGTGATAGTAGACCACGGAGGTGACAGCCGCCAGGAACGCCATCCCCGCTGGCATATACAGGTGGAGATGGCGGGATTCGGTGACCCTGGGACAGGACAGGAGGGGAAGAGAGAGAGAGTGGATACAGATGTGCTGTGTAGCCCACAAAGACCAGCCCAGCACCCATCAGAGGGACAGCCCACTCCCTACTCAGACAGCTCTTCTCCACCCATGCCCCACATTCCTTTAACTGAGGGGTACATGGGACCACATAAGGACGTGGGGAGGGCTCATGGCTCCCCTGGATGGTGGCTTCTCTCCCTGGCTTCTGGCTGACAGAGCACAGGGCTGGAAGCCAGTGTCAGTGCTCACGGCCACAAACTGAACCACTTTTCCGGGGACTGAGCTCAGCTCAGCCCTGGCGACCCGAGGCAGAGCAGGGGCCTGGACAGCACAATTTTCAGCAGCAGCCCCAGTGGACACGAGCCATGTGAATTGGCATAGACACAGGGGCTGGGTTGGCCAGGCTGTCAACAATCAATATTGACTGAGTGCTTACCGGGTGCCAGGCAGCGTTCTGAGCACAGGATGGATGCAAATGCATCTGGTTTATCTAATTTCACAAACTCCTGTGAAGTAGAATGAGAGTCCTCCTGACAAAGGTGAGATATCTGGGGGCACAGAAGGGCTAAGAAACAAGCTCGAGGTCACTGCTTTCTTGGGGTCACCTACACCAGCATGTATCCTGGCCATTTTACCTTCAACAGCTATCATGGGGTGTTGTGGGGGGAGGACTCTGCTCTGGTGATGAGACCCGGTGGGAGGCAGAGCCAAAAGATAGTACGGCAGTTACCAAACCAACAGGGTTCAAGTACTGACATCACACAGCATCACTGGGTGTGGCCTAGAGGCCCCTGTAAAGCCAGGCACCCAAGTATCCCCAACAGCATCCTCAGGCCCTCTAATTGAATCGACAGACTGGGTAGTTGGCTGAAAGTCACCGGGGGATATACCCAGTCTAGGACAGAGACAGTGATTGGATCACACAGTCAAGCAATTCTACACGCCTTGGTCAGTGGTTGGTCCAATTCAAGCTAACACGAAGTCTACAGGGGATGATCTTTTGCCCGAGGAAGAGAGAGGCTAACGGCATGAAGTCACATCCCCTGTACTCTGCTGCCCAGCTCAGGAGCGTGGGGTTTGCTTTCTACAGGAGGGAGCCAAGGAAGGACACAACCACGTCCCTTTGCATTCGCCAGTGGTTTCCAAAGTGACACCTGGAGTAGGGCAGCCATCCTATGATGATGAGGAAGGACTTGGTGGGTACACAGAGGACAGTGTTAGGATGCAGGGAGGAGGGTTCCCCACGCTATCAATGAGCTGCCAAACCAACAAGAAAAAACCACCTCATATTTCTCGTTAAATGAAACCTCAAATGTAGATGTTCTTTAGGACTCAATGATTGGATATTTGTAGCAAAAAAAAAAAAAAAGGGAGGGAGGAATAGGAAGTCAACCAGACACTGCTGGAAACACTGGAAATCTCCAAGACCAAACCCGTGCCTCTGAACTCTGTGAAATAATGTTGAATATCTCTATACTCTCTCAAAAATTTTTGATACTACTGCTCTGTGCTCAGGATGCACAGCTGGAGGTGCTTAGAAGACCATAATATAGTGCTAGGATTCAAAGCATAGGTTAGGTTCATAGCCCCATAAAAGGCAAATGACTTAAGCTATCTCTCCAGCCTTCTTGCACAAAGACATCTAAAATCATATAAGTTTAATTAAATTCACTTTTTTCACAGAAGACAGAAATGACTAATATTATATAAAATTAACTAAAATGATGGCCGTAACTGAAATAAATGTTTTATGATGTGACTTGATAGATTTTAGCTCTTCAATTGAATCATATACATGGAATTAGCTAAGAAAGTAGGTACAAGTTTTAGACTTAGAGTTTTCCCATGTGTGTTTGGGGGGAAGGGGGAAACACATCCTAGTTACATTGTTAAAAGTGTTTCTTTTTTTCCTCACTAAAGACACTGTCTTGCTGGATGTGAATTCAGAGAAGAGCAGAAACAAATTTGAAGCTTTGCACATACCGGTGACAGTAGGCAACAAATCATAGAGGAAAATATATATATGTGCAATATAAATAATATAAATAAATATATACATATATATATCTCAGAGAGCCCAGCAAGCTACTGAGAGTATCACACACGCACAACAAAGCCTGGCAAGCTCCCCATGGCATATTCAATATGCCAAAAACAGTAACAATAACACGTCTCATTCCCATGACCCTGAAAAAGCCACCAATGGTTGGGAAAGATGAGTAAGGAGAGAGAGGCTGATAAAATCTCAGGGCTGGGATGAATGGAGACGTTACTGGCACCCACTCGGGTAAATCGATGAACAACAGGATGACAGTGATACAGTGATACAGGAAGAAAACACAGAGCACTAGAGGAGATTCTCCAGATGCGTGCATGAATCACTTGAGGAGGTTTGCCCTAAACTGGACTCCAGTTCGGTGACCATGGCTTCCACCCCTTCCCCAGGGGTCCCTGCCCCCTAGCGGTCCAGACAGGTCTGCGACCCCATGCCCTGGTGAACTGAGGGGCCACGGGCAGCAGGGTCTGTGCTTCTCCTCCTGTCTGCCCCCTTCTCAGTCCCCTCCTTCCTGTTTCCCTGCCCAGAGGAAGCCAGCGAAGACCAGGTGCCAGGCACCCACAGACCCAATTCTCTGCCATCTCCCAGGGTCAGGGCACGCTGTCAACACAGGGTAATGGCACTCGGTGCCCGGGAGGCTAACTGCACTCAGGTCATCCCCCAGGGCCCCTGTGGCCACCACAGCTTAGCCAGGCAGAATGCTCACAGCCTTTGCACAGGTAGAAAGAGTGAAGCTCAGAGGCTGGAGCGATAGCACAGCGGGTAGCGCGTTTGCCTTGCATGCGGCTATGTTCGATTCCCAGCATCCCATATGGTCCCCCGAGCACTGCCAGGAGTAATTCCTGAGTGCATGAGCCAGGAGTGACCCCTGTGCATCGCCAGGTTTGACCCCCCCCCCAAAAAAGGGAAAGAGTGAAGCTCAGAAAGGCTATGTGATGGGTACAAAGCCCCCTGGCTGGCATGGAGCACCAAGGGAGACCTGTACATTCCCTCTGGGCAGGGGCACCTTCCTCCCTGGCTCCCTGAGTAATACGGGTGTTTGGACGTGAGTACACCCCACTGGGTCAGCTCCCACAACTCTTCCGTTGGCAGTCCTGCTGGTTTGGGTTGTGGTGAGGGGAGGGGAGACAACCTGATCACCTGCTGGCATTGTGGCTGTGTGGGGGCATCGGCAGCCAGGGGGAGCCCCACGGCAAGCAGAGATCCAGAGTTGACTACCCGAAACAGGGTCACTGCGGGTAGGAAGGTCGGGGTGGTGTGTGGGCAGTCGGGAGCGGCTGCGGGGCTGGGCAGAGCACAGTCTGAGGAGTCTCAGGCCGTCTCAGGCCTCCACGCTGGGGACAGGGCCAGCACAATTCTTCTGTGCTTCCTGGGTGAGATGGTGCTGTGCCCCCATATGCTGGCACACACCCCTTCCTTCAGACCACTATCAGCTCTCCCTGAGAACCATGCTGGCGACATCACTTCCCTTCACTGTACTAAACTCTGACAAAGCCTATGCCCTCAACCTGGCCTTAGAAGCCTCCTAGGAAGAGAAGAAAAATGCCTGCCATAGAGGTGGGCAGGGGATGGTGGTTAGGGAGTGATGGGAAAAAACCTGGGGACCTTAGTAGTGGGAAATGTACAGTGGAGGGATGGGTGTCGGAATACTGTATGACTAAAATCCAATCATGAACACACTGTAAAAAAATTAATTAAAAGGGGCTGGAGCAATAGCATAGCTGTTAAGGTGTTTGCCTTGCATGCGGCCGACCCGGGTTCGATTCTCAGCATCCCATATGGTCCCCCAAGCACCTCCAGGAGTGATTCCTGAGTGCAGAGCCAGGAGAAACCCCTGAGCATCAGCTGGGTGTGACCCCCCCCCCAAAAACGAAGCAAATGTAAAATAAATGGAATTCCAGGCCACTCTGGGGGGGAAAAACCCTCCTAGGGCCCTTCTGCGCCTGCTTTCCAGGCCTCAGCTTCATCCTTCCTCTGGGTCCCCACTCCATCACAGTGCTCCTCCCACACCTACTTTAGTGGGTGATGCCTTTGCGCTCTCTCTCCCCACCCCTGCAGCTCCTCCATTGTCAGATCCTTCCAGCCCAGCTCCGGAGCCACCCCACCCCCACCCCCACCACCACCACCATGCAGTCCACCTGCCCCGGCCTCCTCTGCCCTCTTGTGAGGTCTCCGTGCTCCCCCTTTCCTCTGCAGAGCTCACTAACCGTGGGGCTCTGCAGTGCGCCCGATTCTGTGACGACATAGATACATTAACCTTCAGATTCCAACTCTACGGCCTTTCAGACGCTAAATACCATGTGTCAGTGCCATGACAGAGCAGAGAGGGGTGTGGATGGGGGAGAAGTGGAGAGTAAGGCTGGCAGAGGGGGTGAGGGGTTGGTTTGTGAAGCCAGGCTGAGAATCTGGGAATAAATAAACAACTGGGAACCAGGAAAAGTTGTCTAGGTGTAATTTTTGACTGCTTTCTCCTTGGTTACTTGGAGGGGAGGGGACTCCTAAGCAGTGCTCAGGGACCATCTGGGTCACCTCACCTGCTGGGGCATGGGGGATCACATGGTGTCAGGAACTGAATTCGGGACTTGCACATTGCAAAGCCTGAGCTCTGGTTCTCTGAGTCATCTTCAGGCCCTGGATCAGAGGGATTCTGAATTTTCCTAACTACCATGGGCTGGAGCACCTCGGGGGCTCTTGGGCTATTTCTATGGTGGGTCATATACATTGGTATCCCCTGCTGAGGGCCAGCCTAGGTCCTTCCGGTACTTAGCCCTTTGCATAGCGAAGCTAGCACGCAGGAGACACTGGGTTTCTTCAGCCCACAGTCGATTTATTATATGTTGATTTCTTAGCGGTTGCATTATCGGTACCACAGTTCTGGCGTGTGGAAGGCGGGTGAAGGGGGGGGGAGGTCTCCCTGAGTGCTGTGGAGGGCCCCGGAAGCTCTCCGAGTATCACTCACCCATCAGACAGGATGCCCTCCGAGATCTCACACACCAGGACGAAGAGCAGGATGAAGGTGAGGATCCAGCGGAGGTTGTGCCCGGGGAAGTGGAGCCAGGTGCTGTGGTGGATGTGCACTTTGGAGCTCTGACTGCCCCATCCTGCAAGGGGAGACGGGAGGAGTCGGGAAGCCTGGCTCGCGGGGATGAGGGGTGCGTGAAGCCCAGGAGAATGCTCGGGCACTGGGTAGGTCCACAGTAGGGCCTCACTGGCACACCTGCACCGCGCACATGTCTGGCCCTAGAACTAAATGTGCATGAAGCATCGACTCATCTGCCCACTTGAGAGGCAGCGACCCCCCAGGCTGACCTCTTGTGTGACAACTCATCAAATAACAAAACCATTTGGCTGAGAACAGAAGTGTAGAGGAGATGTTTTTTTTCCCCCCATCCCATTTGAGCATATGTTGCCACTGCTTTCTTCCACATTTCTCATTGTCTTCGTCAGACACTAGCAACTTTGCCTTTGCATCATCCTCCTCTTTTAAAAGTCGTGACAAAATTTCCTTTCTTCCCCCAAAGCTACAGATGAATTTTTCAGGCTTGCCTTTAAATTTTTTTTTTTTTCTCTCAGAGTGAATCAACACATTTGCGGGGAGGCAAGGGATAGACAGACACTTCACGCTGGGGACGGTGAGCCCCATCTCGGGATATTCCAGATCTTGAAGAGAGATGTATGGGGGGAGCGCCGGGTGCAGGGGCCTCCCGGATGGTCCCAGAGACAGCGGGGTCCCACACTTGCAAACTGCCGCCGGTTTCCAAGCACCGGCGCTGGGGGCCGCCAGCGAGGCTGCACCCGGGAGTTGGTGCACAGTCCCCAGCCTGGGAAGTTGCGTTCTGGAGACGCGCCGCTGGGGCGGCAGCGGAAGGGGGGTGGGGGGATGCGTTTCCAAGTTTGGGCTTGGAGGGGGCAGGAGTCCCCCACATGTCAGAGGCTCTGCTCGGGGCAGTGAGGGGCGGGACGGGAGGAAGCACGGGGGTGCACGGGGCCTCCCTCCAGGCCTCGCCGAAAGCGGGGTGCTTTCTCCTCCCTGGGCCCCGGAGTGGAGCGGTCGACCTGGAGGGTGCCTTGGGGGGGAGGGGTGGCCCTATGCAGCGCCACCGCGGGGACAGTGCGCACAGACGCCCCAGCTTTCCCTTTCTGCATCCCAGCTCGTTCCCGCCGCGGGCAAAACTTGCGCTGGGGCGGGGGGCGGGGGGCCAGGTGGGTCCGCTGCGTTGGGGAGGGGCGCGGGTTCCCGGAGAGTCGGGGGTGGGGATTGGAAGCGGGTGCGGGGTGCCGCGAGCAGAACGCACCGCCAGCAGAGCCCGGGAGGCGGGTGGCGGGCCGCCAGGGGACCCGGTGCGCCTCCTCCCGCCGCGCCCGCCCCGCGCCCCGGCTCACCGATGAAGAGGATGGGGAAGGTGATGAAGAGCAGGAAGACGTGCGGCACCACGTTGAGCGCGTCCACGAAGCAGCCGTTGTTGAGGACGCCCTGGTCCACCCGGTAGGCGGCCGAATGGTTCTCGCTGCCGCAGAAGGCCAGGGGCATGGCGGCGCGGGCGCGGGGGCCGCGGGCTCGGCGCGGCGCGGTGCCTCTGTCCCTCCGTCCCCGACGCGGCGGCCCGGCCCGGCCCGCAGGCCCCCGCCCCCACCCGACCCGCCCGGGCCCGCCCCGCCGCGCTCCACCTGCCCGGGGACGCGCGGCTAGGGGCCCGCGGCGCGCCTGCGCTGGGGAAGCGGGGGTGGGTGGGCGCGCCCCACTTTGGGTGGGACGGGGCTGGGCGGAAAGGCGAGGAGGAAGGTGCGCGTGGGTCCCGAGTGGGCGCTGTCGACCACGCTTAGAGTGTCCTGCCCGGGGGAATGTAGAGTCCGGGCTCTTGGTGGCAATATTGTGGAGTTCCTCTGCCCCCCACCCCCTGCCCATTTGTAAGGAACTGGGGTGCTGCTTGGGATGTATTTAAAGATTGTTCCAGGGGCCTGCGAGATAGTACAGGGGGTGCATGCATTGACTGGCATGCAGCTTTGGTTCGATCCCCCTCATCCCCTCCCCACCGGCACTCCAGGAGTGATCCCTGAGCACAGAGCCAGGAATAAACCCTGAGCGCTGCTAGGTGTGGCCCCCACACGAAACCAAAAGTGGTCCCAGATGCATGACTTGGTTGCCTTTCACAATACAGGGTCTCCCAGCACTGCTGTTTATTAATAATCATGCCCATTTTCCGAGTGATGAAACTGAGGGAGGTTACATGAAGGTGCCCTGGAACCAGGTCTCCTTGCCAGGGGCAATACAGGGAGGCCATGCCTTGCATTACCTTGACCGTGGCTCCTCCCCTCCTCCCCAAGCCTTTGCACTTGCATCTATGCCTATTAATGTCAAGGAGCACTGGCAAGTGACTGGGTACAATGGTCCCGGTCCAAGACTGAAAACGAGGCACTCATGGGAGTGCACTTAGGGAGAGTGAAGGAAGGAGTTAGTGGAAAGAGAGAATGTCAGCTGGAGTTCTAGGGCCTGGAGAAACTGTCAAGATAATGCCTTGCCCATCCTACAGGTCTGCAGAGATTAGCACTGGTCCATGGCCAAGAAAGTTTATGTGTTATGAAGAAAGAGAAGTGGACATAGAGATAGACTTTAGAAGGATTTCCTGAATTAGGAGTATGGAGCACTATATGTGTTTTGGGGTGAGAGGTGGGTAGCAAGGGAAGATCTTTTCATCGCTTTTCAGTTTCTTGGTACTGTTTCGAGGCTGTGTTGGAGCTCAAACACTTCCAGGGCACAGCCAGGTCAGGCGTCCATGCTGCCTCTGGCCTTGGAGAGGTAGAACAGAAGCGGGCACCATGGCAGAGGAGGGTTGAGGTGTGCTGAGTTGTCTGGAGAGGGCAGGAGCTTAGTGTCTAGACAAGGCTGTGACTTCGGGGATCTCCCTGAAATGGCAACCTCGGCCAACTTAGCAAGAACTTGGCAGTGAGTGTCCAGCCCCAGCAACAGGAGTCGATTAACCCGGGTGAGTGTGTCTGCTGACATTGCTCATGGTGTCTCTGCAGCCAATGAGAAAAGCTTGACTCAATGTCAGTGAAAAGCGGGAAAGAAATCGCGTGTTTCCTATGGTCAGAGCCATATTCAAGTCTTCAGGTCGAGCTTAGCTTGGAAACCACCTGCAATGTATATTAACTACCCAGCACTAGTTTTGTTTGTTTGGGGGCCACCCACAGCGATGCTCAAGGTTTACTCCTGGCTCTACATAGGAATCACTTTTGGTGGGCTCAGGGAACCATACGGGGTTCCAGGGATTGAACCCAGGTCAACAATGGTGTGCAAGGTCATTGTGTGTGTACTATATTTCCAGCCCGAGTGGCACTTGTTCTTATTACATTCCCTTTCTCTTAAAAAAAAAAAAGGGAAATAAAGACAACTAAAGTTCAGAAAGATAAGAATCTCATTTTGTTGTTATTCCAAGTGTTTTCTTAATCTTTACAGTGTTGCCGTTTTGTGTTTTGTAGTTGCCATCTGTTTTCCACACTTTCAGCAATGCTGGTTTTCTTTTTAAGTAAAAATAGAGTGTATTCACATGATTTATTTTACATTTATTTCAGGGGCCACACCCAGTGGTATATGGGCAGAGGGTGGGGGAGTAAGGCCACCCGCTTTGATTGTCTGCCAGCAGGTAGGTCCTGGAAGTGGGGAGAATAGTGTTGCTCCCACAGGCACCAAGGTCATACTCCTGGGATTCGGGGGGAGGTATCATGGGGTGCTTGAGGTCCAGGGTAGTAGGCATGTGCTCTACTACGTGTGCTTTTTCTGCAGCTCTGGCCTGGTTTTTGTTTGTTTGTTTGTTTTTGTTTAGGGACCACTCTTACCTGTGCTCAGGGCTTACTTCTGGCTCTTGCACTCAGGAGTGACTCCTGACGGGCGCAGGGGACCATACAAGATTTCGGGGATCCCTATACCTAGAGGCATCATACAGGGGTTCACATGCAGGGCCCCTTTGGGCTACTTATTCCTGCTTTTGTGAAGGGGCCTCCCAAACAGTATGCAGGGGGCTGAGTGGAGGTTCCCAGGTGATGAGTCAGGAACACATCTGGGCGCAGAGCCCACTTTGGCTCTCTATCCTCTTGGTTGTAAGAAGTCTTAGGGCTCCGCTGTTAGTTCCTGATTCAGGGACCAGCTGTGAACTGAAGATCAATGAGGATTATCTAGTGATCTTCCCCTTCCTCATCACTGCCTGCAGCAGACTCCACATTCCTGCCTCTTCTGGATCATTTGTAGTCAAGAAAAAGCTGTGCTCAGCTCAAGCTGACCTAGACCAAACAGACTATTGAGGGCACATCAGCCAAGACGAGACGGTATTGGGCATCTCTAGACCTTCCCTACAGGTCTCTCTAGTGCAACTGCTTCTGCTGGACTGTACTCTTGGAAACGTCCTAAATGCCTATCATTAGAGGACTGATTAAATCACAGACTCAAGTAGGTTTACACACAATGACATGAAAAGATGTTCAGGCACATCTATGCTATGTGAAACATTGATACCTACAGCAGAAACACAGACGTTGTCTCTCTGGAGAAGGGCTGGTGCGCAGGCTTTCCAATCACTGGCAAAGCAGGAAACTCCTTTCTCCCCTTCCCACCACGCCTTGGACTGGAAGACCCAGGGGCCTCCGAGTTTAGGTGTTTCTCTGAGAACCTGCAGCTGTCCTCAGACCAGAAGGAAAAATCCCGGCTGGATTTCAGGCACCTGCATCTCATTGGGCTACTGGGTAGGTGTGGCCAAGGAAGGCCATGCCCTCTCGATGTGAGGAAGTGGGGAGAGCTGGTGGGAAGACTGCTCTCCAAATTAATCCCTCCAGAATGAACCCTCTAACCATCATTGTTATGATAGTCCCTTCTCTATCCCAAATGTCCTCTCCTCCTGGCACTTGAGGCAGGCTTCTAATTGTGGAGCAATCCTCTTGGCCCTTGTCTCTACTGTCCTTGGGTGTTCGTCTCATACTGTTATTTTATATCCCACAAATGAGTGCAGTCCTTCTATGTCTGTCCTCTCCTCCTGACTCACTTCACTCAGCATGATACTCTCCATGTCCATCCACTTATAAGCAATTTTCATGACTTCATTTTTTCTAACAGCTGCATAGTATTGATTCAATAAATCAAAAAAAAAATTCTTCCAGCTCTGAAGTTGTTCAAACCTTTGTATCCTGTTTCTTTGGGTTGAAAGATATGTTTTGTTTTGTTTTGTTTTTGGCAAAGCTGGAAATGGAACTTGGGGCCGCACATATTACTTAAGGCAAGCGCCCTCCAGCTGAGTCATGTCCTCTCTGACCCAGGGGTGTCAGTGGTCCTGACAGAGGGCCCAATCAGGATGATGGTGATGATGATGATGATGATGATGATGATGATGATGATGATGATGACACAATAAGCCCGACAACCAACCCTTTCAGTAACCCAAATCTGTTGAGGGCTGGTAAACAGATAAAATAAACAGATTGGGCACTCTGCAGCTCTAACCCTGGGGATCTAAAGAGTGCTGGGAAGGGGTCTCTACTCCCCCCCACACCTCCTCTTCCTCATCACTGGCTGCCAGGCTGTGGCAGGTGGAAAGAAGGTGATGGGTGTTGCAAAGCCCATGTCCATCGTGAGGCTTAAAGGACTGGAGAACCATTATAAGAGTGTTACAGACAAAACCCATTGGCTTGAAACTGGGAGAGAAATCATTTCCCCTTTCCTGGGAATGGAAATGGAAGCATTTCCATTATCTCCTTTCCGTTGGAGGGGGGAAAGGGAAAAAGTAGATTGCACCAGAAAATTCACTCTAAGATTGTTTAGAGGAATGCGCCCCTTTTCCCAGCCCAGATGGACAGACTCAGGAGGAACCTCTGAGTCTGTCACCCATCACTGCATGGGTACAGGAACAAGATGGATGATACCTCAGCCCTATGCTCTTGGTCCCCCTAATGGGGAAGTGGAGGAGAGCTGATATTACTGCTTTCTGTCAAATTGGTGGGATGAGAGCCTAACATAGAAATTATTATATTAAGATAGAAATTATAAAAGTATTACTTTATTGATCAAAATTTATTTGACTATATGGTGGTTTTTTTGTTTTGTTTTTTGGGTCACACCTGGTGATGCACAGGGGTTACTCCTGGCTTTGCACTCAGGAGTTACTCCTTGCAGTGCTCGGAGGACCATATGGGATGCTGGGAATCAAGCCCGGTCGGCCACGTGCAAGGCAAACATCCTACCTGCTGTACTCTCACTCCAACCCCTAAATAGTGATTTTAATCAGTTTTGAAACTATTTTTGATACAATAACATTTTCTTTTTAAAAATTATTATATTTATAATAAAATAAATATTTTATTTTAATATTTTATTTTAATGCTAATGTGCTGTGGTTTGCAATATTGTTAATGAAAATTTCCCATATACAATGATGGTTTCCCATATAAATCTCAATACTATATCCATCAGTACCGTACCCACCTCCCTCTCCCAAGGACTCAGTGCCCCTCCCTTTCAACACCCCCCACCCCTGAAATCTAAATTAAAGGAAGTTCCCGAGCATTTCAGTTTGGATCCAGGACCACTGTCCTTACAGTCACCTGATCCAGAAGGCAGCCTCATCTGCCCGGTTTGATTGCTATACCTTGAGGCCCTTTT